GCCGTTTGGGGAATGGTGAGTGTTTGGTATTCATTCGGCTCTGCTTGGCTCTCAGTTGCGATGCAGTATGAATATGCTGGTGAAAGAATTCCAGTTTGGGATGCTTCATCCAGTGTTTCTGTTGTCATACGGGCTCCCGAGTGGCGCAGCGGTCTAAGGCACTGCATCTCAGTGCTTGAGGCGTCACTACAGACCCCCTGGTTCGATTCCAGGCTGTATCACAACTGGCCGTGATTGGGAGTCCCATAGGGCAGCGCACAATTGGCCCAGCGTCGTCCAAGTTTGGCCGGTGTAGGCCGTCATTGTAAATAAGAATTTGTTCTTAACTGACTTGCCTAGTTAAATAAAGGTTAAATTAAAAAAATAACGGATACCTGTGATATGTTAAACCACTTTGACTACTTTGACTCTTCACCCTTGATTCCACATTGTATCAACATTTATGTAGGTGTGATCCATATGTCCAGTGAACAAACTGTTTTTGATCTACAGGAGTGAGCGTCCGAGGATAACCAAAGATGTGGTGTGTTTCCACGCAGAGGACTTTAACAATGTGGTCCAGAGGCTACAGCTGGATCTGTACGAGCCCCCTGTGTCTCAGGTAGGAGGAACTGAGCTCTTATTGAACCTTGAACCTGTTAGGGTGATGCATGAATCTCCGCTGTATGGGATCATAGCAGGTCAAATGTCTGATAGGCTTAGTCATCAAAAGGATCAGACATGCATGAGGTTGAAAGCCTTGGAGTGGATGACATAATATGCCATTTAGTGAGTCAGTTTAGAGCTTTAATTTACAGAACCAGAGGCTTTATTCTGGTCCCAGAGAATGACCAATTCTGCATGATCTTCTCTGGAGTTTTCTGGAGTTCAGTTCAGTGTTGGTCGAGATACCAGGCAGGCGTGACAGGACAGGCTTACTGCTGCTGTGTGGGAACAGATCCGGTAAGCCTACCCATAATTCTCGTCTCTCTCTGCAGTGTGTCCAGTGGGTAGACGATGCCAAGCTGAACCAGCTGAGGCGGGAGGGCATCCGCTACGTGCGGGTGCAGCTTTGTGACGACGACATCTACTTCATCCCCCGTAACGTCATTCACCAGTTCAAAACTGTCTCGGCAGTCTGCAGCCTGGCCTGGCACATCCGCCTCAGACAGTACCATGAGGAGAAGGACTGGGGGGAACACGCCCAACACAAGCCCAACGACCAGAGCACAACATCGGGTCAATTCTTCTTATCCTCCCCCTCCCCGGCCCAGCCGGATGCCAAAGTGCCCCACTGTGCCGGTCTGCAGGCACAGACAGACACGACCCAGGGAGGGGTGGCCAAGACTGAGGAATCAGTGTTTCAGAGGCCTGCTACTCCACCTAGAGAGCCCCGGCCAGCCCGTCCTCAGCCTGCTAAGTCTGCTCACCTGCCCCCTCCCTACCTGGGCATGAGCCCCCTGCCACATGTCTCCTCTGGTCCTGGTTCTAACCCCTCCAGCCTAGAGCCCAGGCTTCCACAGCCCCTGGTCTGGCCTCCCCCTGGTCGAGACTACAACTCCCCGCGACCCCACCATGATGTACAGCGTCACTGCCCCACTGACTTCCTCAAATGACCTTCCCTCCCCTTTACTCCTTTAGCTGCTTTTGCTACCCTCTAAGGGAGAGCAGTTTATTTCAAGGAATATGACTAACTTTTTGAATTTCTTCTCTTTAAATTATTCAGATTATAATGTATTATTTTTATGTGTAAATGCAGTATCAGAGACAATCCTATACGTTTTTTTTCTCAGCCAAAGTGTGAAAAGTAAATTTAGAAACATTTGTCAGAAAAAAAGTGTCCGTGTTTATATTTGTTAGTATCTGAAACTGAGGTCCCTCTGGGGAGTTTCCTAACTTGCTTCGTGAGTTACCAAGGCAACTCGCTTTGCCAATCGAGAGAGACTACCAAGGTGTATATCATGTACATTGCCTAATTGGTTTTTAGAGAAAAGTGCCTGCCACCCGAAGAACAGCAATCAGTCTCAAATACATTTTTTAAATGTATTCTTAGGCTAGCGTTCTTGAGACTTTCTGTAATGGTGAATGTACAATAGAGTTTTAAAGAACTGTGGAAATTCACATATAAGATATTTTCCCGAGTTGTTCGTTATTTTTGTCTGTGCTTCACAAATGCAGAGTTGGCCTGAGTTTTTGTATTGGATTGTGGATTCATTCATATATTTTTTTAAATGTGTAATTAAACAATGAATGGCATGTTCTGGTGTTTGACACTCAGATGTTGATACAGTACAATACTTTATGTCCAAAACATTGTCCAACTTTCAGCCATTTCTATCGATGTTATGCCATGTTTTAATGTTTTTCTACTGTCCCATTTATTTTCTACTGTCCCACTTTTACACATTTTACATTTAAGTCATTTAGCAGACACTCTTATCCAGAGCAACTTAGTTAGTGAGTGCATAATTTTTTTTTTCATACTGGCCCCCCGTGGGAAACGAACCCACAACCCTGGCGTTGCAAGCGCCATGGTCTACCAACTGAGCTACACGGGGCTTACACTGCTTCTGATGTTTTATTTATTTGTTCTGCATTAAGTAAAACCAGGTAGCCTAGCGGTAAAGCGGTTAGGACAGTAACCGAAAGGTTGCTGGGTCGAATCCCCTAGCTGACTAGGTGAAAAAGCTGTCTGTGCCCTTGAGCAAGACATTTAAACCTAATTGCTCCTGCAAGTCGCTCTGGTTAAGAGCGTCTGCTAACTGACTAAAACGTAAAATTTAAAACAAATGGTCATTTGTTCTGAATTAAGTCTATTACTTTAGACTGTCCATTTATAATGGTAAATAAAGGGTTAAACCTGTGTGAGGTGTTACACAAGTTGCACCTGTCTGAGGTGAGGGCAGTTTGGGTCTGTGATGGTGCACAAGGCAAGAATGGTTATGGTCAGCAATCACTTTTGTGAGATGTTTTCCTGAAATAATGTCCACGCATTTTAAAATGTTATGTATTATCTATTGTTATGTTATCTAGAATTATGTGAATGCTGTCAGTGCACTTTGTCATACAATTTTTCGCTCAATGTTTTGATGAAAAGGTACTGTAATGGGTACACTTTGTGGTAGGTGAAATCTGAGTGCAATGTAGTGACCACTATTGTGTAGTGTTGTTTTATGTAAGTTTTCTTGTTTTTGCACTTGTCTGTCTGGTGGTAACTATGCTGAAAAAGAAGTCTATGTAAGGGAGAGCTGGGTGTTCCCTAGCCTCGGAAGCCCAGGTCGAGTGAAGGATACTGGCCTCTCGACTAGTTGTTCCTTAAAGGTCTGTCAGTACAACTGATGCATTCCCTAGGATGCAGATTAGGGTTTAGCTAGCATTTTAGTTCCTTGACAATTCTGCCCATTTGAAACTGTGATTTGTTTGTAGGCCTATAAGTCTATAATAACACAGACTATAAATTGCTTCCTTATGCTCCATGATTTCCAGATGTGGAACCTGTGGAATTGAAGGCTTCTATCAGGTTTGTTAAATAAGTAAAAAGAACAGTATGAAGATATAATTACCTTTGGAATGAACATTGGTCATTCAGAACCATGCCTTTCATGTATTTTAAGTCTTTCTCAAACATGCAGTTTTTCTGAAAAGTCGAATGGCTAGTTATTGCAATTTGTTAAACAGATGGTTGTCAAATAGGTACTGAAATAAATTGGCAGCTAGCTCCTGTTTCTTCTGACTTTTGTCAAATTCTAATGTGTAGTCTGCCTGATGACCAAGGCCTGCTACACGGGGGGCCAGTATGAAAAATGTATGCACTCACTAACTGTAAGTCGCTGTGGATAAGAGCGTCTGCTAAATTACTGAAATGTAAATGTAATGTGTAGTTTTAATACAAATAATTACTGTTGTTGATGTTTGTATTTTAATTAATGATATAAACAAAAAAATATTTAGAAAAAAACATTTTGGGGTAAAACAAGTTACATTTGATATAATTATGTTATTAAAAGTGTGATCAATCATGTGAATTGAGTAGAAAACAAAATGCAATTCAAACGTTTCTTGTATTTTTCAAAATAAATAATTGTATGTGTGCATTATGTATGAATTATCTGAGTGACATGACTTTTGTAAGCATTATAGAGAAGAAAACAGTGATCTTCAAAAATGGGTAAATTTAGAGCAATCTCTATTTTCTTTGCTATTAAAGCCCATATAGAAAACACATCCATCAACTTACAACAATGAACATGATGTATGCACAGTACCGGCCTGTATGCTTATCCCACACCACCATGAAAAATATTACCGGTATATATTTATCTTAAAAATAGTTAGTCCCATCACGGTGGGTAATATTCACTCTGTACAGGGTAGGTGTAGATCTAGATTTTGTCTGGATCAGAAGGAGCCTATACAAACAATAAAAAATTAACATCAGCATATAAAACTATTTGGTAGCATGTATCAAGTAGCGTGTTACCAACAATTCAAAGTACCTTACAGTATTTATCAGGCAAAATAGACAAAAGTAGCCCTCTAAGATTTATCAACTCATCCATCCATCCATCCATCCTTTGCCTACATTTGATTGCATCCTTCCACCACATTTCAAAGGCACAAGTTCTCCCTTCAGGCACGGATAAATAACTACAGTACAATCAATTTGTCATGAATTGCAGGTGCTCCAATACAAAGCTAATCCGAGGTTGATCACTGGGCCGTGACAGCAATTTGCGTGACAGTGTTAATGTCTTTGCGTGACAGTGTTAATGTCTTTGCGTGACAGTGTTAATGTCTTTGCGTGACAGTGTTAATGTCGTTTCAGAACACAGGGAGAAAGTCTTGCTACATAATTCCCCATGTCTTCTTGGAATGATGCTCTTCCTTCACACTGTCAAAAGTCCTCTAGGGACCATCCCTAGTCCAGTTGAGTGGCCAGTAGCTAGTAGCCACATGCAGGGTTCCAGCCATGTGATCTGAGGACAGTGGCCAGACATGTCCAGCTTTGTTGACTGGTTGTCTTACACCCACGTCTCAGGTTGACTCCTTGGCCCTTTAGGCTTCCCAAAACGAGTCCCAAATCCTGGAGAGAACACATACTGTTCTGAAATGTGTCCCATCACATTCTTTAAATTAGATTTGCATTGATGTGTCTGGTGAAGGCTTACCAAAAGTGAACACTGATGATGAGGCAGAGGTACCATAAGGAGGAGGTGGTCCAGAGTGGGTTGGTACTGGTGGAGGGGCAGACTTTGCTGTGGGAAGAATTTGTTACCATTTTAGCTGCTAGAGGTGGGAAATCTACAGTATGTTCCAGACAGCAGATCCATTTACGTATATACCTGTTACTTACGTTTCTGTCTGAGTTTGAATAACTTCAGGCTCTGAAAAATAAAAACAGAGACAGCTGGCTTTAGATGACAAGACATACCCAGATAATAGCAGAGAATATTCTGAGTATAGAAACACCAGATCCTCTATTTCTAAAACAATAGATAACGTCTGTGAGTTACTGTAATTCTATGTACATAGTCATTACCTTTGTTCTAGACATGGCCTTCCCACTGTTCTTGTCTGATTTGTCTTCTGTAGTCCCAGTGATGGTTGAGGTGCTGTTGTCCACAGGCTGCTGAAGCTTCATTTCAGCTGAGAAACGGTCATTAGATACAGTATGTCACAGTTATGGAGACATTTTGTAAAAGTTTAATTCAATATCATCAAGAGTCAAGAGTAAACGGGAATAGGGTGGATGTTTGGATTAGAGTGATTTAAATACTCTTAATAAGGAGAGGTCATATTTACATGGGCCTGTGTTTAGTTAGTGAGACAGAGTTGATAGTTGTAATTGCGGGTCTATGTTCTGTGTGTTGCAACTCACCACTTCCTCCTTCAGTCATGGCCACAACGGCTGGAGCAACCAGAGGAACAGTAGTCAGGGGCTCTGTAGAGAAAATGTAGACAGACAAATTGTAAAGTACTGTATGTTCTCTCAAACATCAGATAGCTCAAGGAAGGAGTACTTCTGACATTAGTTCTCATCATCATGTCATCAATTACAATAAGAGTAAGTAAGTAGCCTTGCACGAGCTGGAATGGCTCATAGGAGAATGATCCTATAGAGCTTGACAGCTTGTAGTCCTATAACCCGGAAATGAGTTACCTCTGGTTCGTTCAGCCATCCCTATGTGAAAAATGAATTGTGAAAGAATATGGTTTTGGAACAAATGTCGATAATAAGGTCTGAGGTTGGCACAGGCTTAGGAGATCTTATACGTTTTGTTCTATGAGATAATTGCAGTCAGTTAACATGATCATTATGAAGCCTTTATGTGTTTTATGTGTTTCTTTAAATTACATAAATTCTTCAAAATTCACAAAAAGAGATGTTAGCTGAAGAAGATTCTCATAGGACAAAACCTATAAGATCTCCTAAGCCTGTGTTTACCACATACCTTATTTTCAGCGTTTATCTAAAAACCCTACAAAAATGCCATTCATTTTCTCCATAGACTTTGTCCAACGAACCATGGTGGAGTTAGTGCCTACAAAAAGTTGGCATTACTATTTATTTCTATATCCTGTTTCTGTGGTTTGAGGTAGCTTGATATACAAGTACACCCACCTGGACAGGACACTAGTCTATCGCAAGGCCTTACCCCAATCTATCTCCAGAGACACATTGTGTTCCATCATTTACAGTCTTTGGTACGACTCGGTGATCAAACTTCCAACCTTCCAATTTCAGGGCAGACACTAACCACAAGGCCACTGAGTGTGTATAATGATGCTTTTCAGTGATTTCTATTAGTGCCTTTTATTGTGTGAGGGAGCAAAGCCAAGAGCAACCATTTGAAGTTGACTTTTCTCAGTCACAGATGGCCTTTCTCAGTCACTACTGAGAAAACAGCTTACCTTGCAGTGAACTCTTTACACGGACACTCTGAGGGAAAGGTTTAGAGCATTGTATTAATGTTCTTATGTATTTACAACAACTGGAACATATGAGCCATAGCATGAATCACAAGGAGGACAAAAATGCTCAGGGCATTTAATATCCCTAAAGGGCATTTAGCAAAGATAAGTTCATGACACAAAGGGGTGGGTGGCAGCATCCTGTACTAGCTAGATGTACCCATTAAATACACATGACTCTAAGAGTAAGAGTCTCTACTGACCATAGAAATTGAATAACTAGAACCATCCCCATTCTATAAGCATTAGTTCTATGAGGGTGACTACCACACCTCCTTATAGTCTTGACAGCTACAGCACCCAGAGTCTGTTAACGTCTGTTACCTTGCTCCGATTCATGATTCCATCCAGGAATCCTATGGGTTGGGAGTTCCCTGCCCACTCTGAGGACGTACCGATCCTCTGATGTGTGGTTGTGGTCTGGCTGCTGCTCTGACTCTGCAGGCAGGGGGCGCTGTTCTGATCAACTGCAACTGCCCAAAAATTATACAATGTCAGTTTAGTACTACACAGAGTAGATACATTACCTTGATTGACACACACAGAGCCGTTTACATATTTTTAAATTCTGTCTGGAGGATTAACATTTTGACAGTAGCCTATTCCTAGCAGCACTATCATGGTGATGATGATGATGATGATGATAATGATGGTGGAGGTGGTGGTGATGAAAAGGCATGTGCTCACCTTCTTGAGTGACCAGGATGAAGGATTCTGGGGTTCTCTCAGGTAGAGGGGAAGTCAGACTCTCTGAGCCTTCACAATGAAAAAAAACACAAGTCAATGAGGTTCTACATGGAACACAAAAGGGTTCTACCTGGAACCAAAAGGGTTCTACCTGCAACCACAAATGGTTGTTCAAAGGGTTCTCCTATGGGGATAGCCAAAGAACCCTTTAAGGTTCTAGAAAAAAACATTTTTTCTAAGAGTGTATAGAAAAATAACATTGCAAACATAAAATGGGTGTCACTTTTGCTTACCTGGAGGTGAGAGAGGAGGGGCCAGAGGATAGGGAGGTGGAGGGGGAGGAGGAAGGTTTACTGATGTACAGGGAGCAGGTACAGAATATCTAACTGGGGGAGGCACTGTAATGGGTGGTGGCACTGTAACCGGGGGTGATCCTGTAAAGGAAAAAAAGGCCAAAAAGACTGGGATAAACATCATTTGCACATGACATTCTCTCCATTTTATCATACTGATTGTTTTGTGTGACAAATACCTGAGAGTGTTGTCATTTTTACTTTTAAGCTTTTGCTCCTCATCCGAGATCTCTTCTCCACCAGAGCAGGAGTGTCCACTGAATGTCCAGACCACTCTTTCTCTTCTGACTTCTGGCCTACCATCTCCACGGGGACTGAGAGGGAAGGGAAGACAGGAGTGCTCCTACCGGCATCGTTGGCCAACACAAAGGACTCTGGCGTTCTCTCTGGCAGTGGGGGGATAGGCGAGGGGGGACTCCCTTTGGGAGAAAATGAGTTAGAGAAAAAATTTATGTTTGAATACTTATGAAGAAGAGCTTATGATGAGTATTATGAGTGTCTTCAAAGGCCCTCCACTCACCGTTCCCCCTGAGGGCTTCAGCTGCAGCATTAGGAGGGATGATGACCTCTAACCTCTCAGGTTTAGAGATGTTATCAGGGCGCTCTGATGGGCCCAGGAAAAGATTTCGTGACATTAAACATATAGTATATATATATATATATATATATATATATATATATATATATATATATATATATATATATATATATATATATATATATATACAGTGCATTCGGAACGTATTCAGACCCCTTGACCTTTTCCACATTTTGTTACGTTACAGCCTTACTCTAAATTGGATTTGTCCGTAGAGCTCCGAGACAGGATTGTGTCGAGGCACAGATCTGGGGAAGGGTACCAAAAAATGTCTGCAGTATTGAAAGTCCCCAAGAACACAGTGGCATCATTCTTAAATGGAAGAAGTTTGGAACCACCAAGACTCTCCCTAGAGCTGGCAGCCCGGCCAAACTGAGCAATCGGGGGAGAAGGGCCTTGGTCAGGGAGGTGACCAAGAACCCGATGGTCACTCTGACAGAGCACAAGAGTTCCTCTGTGGAGATGGGAGAACCTTCCAGAAGGAAAACCATCTCTGCAGCACTCCACCAATCAGGCCTTTATGGTAGAGTGGCCAGACGGAAGCCACTCCTCAGGAAAAGGCACATGACAGCCTGCTTGGAGTTTGCCAAAATGCACCTAAAGACTCTCAAACCATGAGAAACAAGATTCTCTGGTCTGATGAAACCAAGATTGAACTCTTTGGCCTGAATGCCAAGCGTCACGTTTGGAGGAAACCTGGCACCATCCCTACGGTGAAGCAAGGTGGTGGCAGCATCATGCTGTGGGGATGTTTTTCAGCGGCAGGGACTGGGAGAATAGTCAGGATCGAGGCAAAGATGAACGGAGCAAAGTACAGAGAGATCCTTGATGAAAATCTGCTCCAGAGTGCTCAGGACCTCAGACTGGGGCAAAGGTTCACCTTCCAACAGGACAATGACCCTAAGCACACAGCCAAGACAACGCAGGAGTGGCTTCGGGACAAGTCTCTGAATGTCCTTGAGTGGCACAGCCAGAGCCCGGACTTGAACCGATCGAACATCTCTGGAGAGACCAGAAAATAGCTGTACAGCAACACTTTCCATCCAACCTGACAGAGCTTGAGAGGATCTGCAGAGAAGAATGGGAGAAACTCCCCAAATACAGGTGTGCCAAGCTTGTAGCATCATACCCAAGAAGACTCGAGGCTGTGATCGCGCCAAAGGTGCTTCAACAAAGTACTGAGTAAAGGGTCTGAATACTTATGTAAATGTGATATTTCCATGTTTTTTTTCTAAAATCCTGTTTTTGCTTTGTCATTATGGGGTATGGTGTGTAGATTGATGAGGGGAAAAACAATTTAATCAATTTTAGAATAAGGCTGTAACTTACCAAAATGTGGAAAAAGTCAAGGGGTCTGAATATTTTCTGAAGGCACTGTATTATATATATATATATATATATATATATATATATATATATATATATATAGTGATGGGATATACTGGAATATCAACCCAAAGAATGGGCCATGCTTTAAAGCCAACTAAGCACTCTCAAATTCTTTATTGATCTAAAAGAGTAAGCATACAGTATCACAACATTCACCTGTTCCAGCAGCCAGTACATATGATTCAGGGGTTCGCTCCGGTAATAGAGGTGGACTGTCTTCATCCGAGGAAGCTACAACCGCACCTGGGGCAGCGTTGGTGATGACAAGGGCTGGCAGCTCCATCGGCTGGCCGTTAAGGGTCATACTTGACCCATTGAAATAGGGGTTCTCTGTCAACTTGCTCAGTGGAGCCAGCTCCTCCTCATTATCAGCCCCTCTGGGAGCCTCAGAAGCCAGGGGTGAGGTCAGTGAAGAGTCAGGTCCAAAGTAGGGGTCCTCCACGGTGAGACAGAGGGTGTTGGAGATGGAGACCGCAGAGAGCACTGGTGGTACCAGTCGGTTGATCTCTACATCCCTCTCCACCTTCTTTTGCTCCATGGGTCTCTGACAGAATTCCTGAGTCCTGAGTGCCTGAGGGGTTATGATGGGGATGCTGAGGCTGGGCTCTTGTCTCAGGTCCTGGCAGGTGGGCAGGTTATCAGGCTTTGTCGGTAGTGGGTATGGTGGTCTCTGGTCGATGGGCCTGTTATTAGGCTGTGTCTGTAGAGGTTGTGGTTTCTGGTTAACAGTCTGTGTTGGTAGGGAATTTGGTCTCTGCTGTTCCCTCTGCCTGTCCCTTGCTCTCAGGGCATTGAGGATGGCTGAGGGGGAGCGCGTAGCTGCGTCAGACAGTGGGTCACCATCATGCACCGCTGCTGAGGCAGAGAAGGCCACTGGTAAGACGTGATTGGATATCCCATCAGGCTCCTCCCTCTCTGAGTGCCTGCAACACAATATGAGTTATTTAGCCATTCTATTGAAGAGGCATTTCTCTCTCTGTGTGAGAAAGAGTATTGGTTATTGTGACATATTTTGCTATAGAGATATGCATCCAGCAATGCACCATGAAAAAAGCTTCAATTGTCAGATCTATGGTTGATGGGGAAAAGCATTTACTGTTCTGTACCTGTGCTCTGTCTGTGGTTCTATTTGATGCTGGGGCACAGGTTCTGGTTCCTGTTCAGCTTCAGACGCCTCGCTGAGGTCAGAGAGCTCACTGTCACTGGGTGTAGGGGGTGAGGGGGCCACTGGCACCTAAACAGTTAAACAGAATCACACGCTTACTCACTCACCCTCTGAGAAAGTATTTACGTAGGCCACAGATCACTGGCCTTAGTTTATGTGGCTGTGTTGCTCCATTCCAGTGCCTGTTGCTACAACATCCCCAAACAGCCAGCTTGGTTCCCCTAGCCAGAGTCTCTCTGTGTGTTTGAGATTACACAACAGTCACACTGTGCAGAATCATTGATCTACAAATCACCTTGCATCCCAAATAACTACTCATTATGTGATCGGGATTAGTGATTCAGCACCTCATCTTGATATAACTGTTCCCCGTCAAACACGCTGTCTGTCTCACCTCCTCTGTGCAGGAAGGCGGTGCTGGTGCCATGGACAGCAGATACTTCTCAAACAGGAACTTGATGGTTCTGTACACTAGCTCATACTGTTCCTGTAGTCACACACAAAACCAGTTATTTTAGTGTTAGATCCCATATCAGCTGCCCCGGCGAGAGATTACACAGGGGGAGTTTCTACTAACATTATAGATTGCAAAGAATATGTGGCTCTACAGATGTAGGATCTTAATTTGATCAGCCTGTTGCAGGAGAACTGTCCTGCAATGCAGGAAATGTAAAACATGTAGTGTATTTGAGATTTTAAAAGGCAAATGAAGCCACTTTGAAATGTCAGAATTGATTGCTGCCAGACGATGGTGAGATACAACTTTGTGATAATAATGTCTCAGGTGGAGGCCTGTCACACTGAGTGTACAGAACATTAGGAACACCTGCTCGTTCCATGACATAGTCTGACCAGGTGAATCCAGGTGAAAGCTATAATCTCTATAATCCCACCTCAATGTCAACTCAATCAGTGTAGATGAAGGGGAGGAGACAGGTTAAAAAATGATTTTTAAGTCTTGAGACAATTAAGACATGGATTGTGTATGTGTGCCATTCAGAGGGTGAATGGGCAAGACACATTTTTTTAAGTGAACGGGGTATGGTAGTAGTTACCAGGCGCACCGGTTTGAGTGTGTCAAGAACTGCAACGCTGCTGGGTTTTTCACGCTCAACAGTTTTCATGTGTATCAAGAATGGTCCAGCACCCAAAGGACATCCAGCCAACTTGACACAACTGTGGGAAGCATTGGAGTCAACATGGGCCAGAATCCCTGTTGAACGCTTTCGACACCTTGTAGACTCCATGCTGCAACGAATTTAGGCTGTTCTGATGACAAAAGGGGGTGCAACTCAATATTAGGAAGGTGTTCCTAATGTTTTGTCCACTCAGTGTATGTGGTTATGCTCAAATATTACTATGAAGTGAAAACGCTACCTTGGTCTAAAGTAGAAGCCTGTCACAAAGTGTCTGTGTATGTATGTGATTATGCAGCTAATAGCATTATGTAGAATACTAAGTGAGAATGCTACAGTGTCTTCAGAAAGTATTCATAACCCTTGACTTATTCTACATTTTGTTGTGTTACAGCCTGAATTCAAACTAGATTAAATATAAAACATTTCTCACCCATCCACACACAATACCCTATAATGACAAAGTGACATAATGACATACTGTAAGTATTCACTCCACTTTGCTATGACACTCTAAGTTGCGTTCAGGTGCATCCAATTTCCTTTGATCGTCCTTGAGACGTCACTGCAACTTGTTTGGACATGATTTAGAAAGAAGCACACCTGTCTATATAAGGTCCCACGGTTGACAGTGCATTTCAGAGCAGAAACTATATCATGAAGTCCAAGGAACTGTTTGTTGAGCTCCGAGATAGAATTTTGATGAGGCATATATCTGGGGAAGGGTATAAAACTATTTCTAGAGTGTTGAAAACTTCCAAGATCACGGTGGTCTCCATCATTGGGAAATTTAAAAAATATGGAACTACCCAGACTCTGCCTAGATCTGGCTGTCCGACCAAACTGAGCAACCGGGCAAGGAGGACCTTGGTCAGTGAGATGACCAAGAACCCAATGACCACTCTGACAGAACTACAGAGTTCCTTGGCAGAGATGGGAAAACCTGCCAGAAGGACAAGTCTCTGCAGCACTTCACCAATCTGGGCTTTATGGGAGAGTGGCCAGACGGAAGCCACTCCTGAGAAAATGGCACATGACAGCACACCTGAAGTTTGCAAAAAGGCACGTGAAAGACTCTGAGAGCATAAGGCAAAACATGATGTGGTCTGATGAGACAAAAATGTAACTCTTTGGCCTGAATGCAAAGTTCTATGTCTGGAGAAAACCAGGCACAGCCCATCACCCATCTAACACCATCCCTACCGTGAATCATGGTGGTGGCAGCATCATGCTATGGGGATGCTTTTCAGTGGCAGGAACTTGGAGACTGGTAAGGATAGAGGGAATAATGAATGGAGCCAAATACAGGAAAATCCTTGATGAGAACCTGCTTCAGAGTGCAAATGACCATAGACTGGGAGCAATTTACGTTCCAACAGGACAATGACCCGAAGCATACAGCCAAAGCAACACTGGAATGGTTTCAGAGCAAGAATGTGAAAGTGCTTGAGTGGCCCAGTCAAAGCCCAGACTTGAATCTCATTGAAAATCTGGGGAAAGACTTGAAGATCGCTGTTCACCGCTGCTCCACATCTAACTTAACAGAGCTTGAGGAAATCTGCAAGGAAGAATGGGAGAAAATCCCCAAACCCAGATGTGCAAAGATGATACAGACATACCCAAGATAACTCAAAGCTGTAATCGCCGCCAAAGGTGCTTCTACAAAGTATTGACTCAGGGGTGTGAATAATTACGGAAATTAGCAAACTTCTAAAACATGTTTTCACTTTGTCATTATGGTGTATTGTGTAATTCAGGCTGTAACAACAAAATGTGGAATAAATCAAGGGGCATGAATACTTTCTGAAAGCACTTTACCTTGGTCTGAACCACAGAGGGCCTCTGTGTTCTCATGTCCTGAACCAGGTCATAGATGCTGAAGTCTTCTTTGAGCCGCTGGAAATAAACACAAAGGCACTCAATGACGATCAGTAAGGTGACTGTACACACATACAGTTACAGATAGGATAGCTTTCAGTACACCACAACATAGATACAGTAGTCTTTGGTCCTCTGCTCTCACTCGGGTTCAGAGGAGATGGTACAGTACAGGGTAGGGTAGGTACAGTTCTCACCTGTGTTTTCACCAGGTTCCAGGTGTAGTCGATGGCACACAGTGCTCCTGTTCTTCCACAGCCAGCACTGCAGGGACAAACAGGTTGAACAGTGTCAACATAAAATACATTATATTAATTAAGAAGAACAAACATGTAGAATATATAAATACAAACTCTTTTCACCTAGCATGCTCCTGGCCCACACTAACAGATAGAGACTGTCAGATACACTATATATATACAAAAGTATGTGGACACCCCTTCAAATTAGTGGATTCAGCTATTTCAGCCACATCCGTTGCTGACAGGTGTATAAAATTGAGCACACAGCCATGCAATCTCCATAGACAAAGATTGGCAGTAGAATGGCATTACTGAAGAGCTACGTGACTTTCAACATGGCACCATCATAGGATGCCACCTTTCCAACAAGTCAGTTCATCAAATTTCTACCCTGCTAGAGCTGCCCTGGTCAACTGTAAGTGCTGTTATTGTGAAGTAGAAACGTCTAGGAGCAACAACGGCTCAGTCGCGAAGTGGTAGGCCACACAAGCTCACAGAATGGTTACAACACTCACTACCAAGTTCCAAACTGCCTCTGGAAGCAACGTCACCATGGCCGAGCAGCCACACACAAGCCTAAGATCACCTATGCGCAATGCCAAGCGTCGGCTGGAGTGGTGTAAAGCTTGCCGCCATTGGACTCTGGAGCAGTGGAAACGCGTTCTCTGGAGTGATGAATCAAGTTTCACCATCTGGCAGTCAGACGGACTAATCTGGTTTGAGGGATGCCAGGAGAACGCTACCTGCCCCAATGCATAGTGCCAACTGTAAAGTTTGGTGGAGGAAGAATAATGGTCTGGGGCTGTTTTTCATGGCTCCTTAGTTCCAGTGAAGGGAAATCTTACCGCTAAAGCATTCAATGACATTCTAGATGATTCTGTACTTCCAACTTTGTGGTAACCGTTTGGGGAAGGACCTTTCCTGTTTAAGCATGACAATGCCCCCGTGCACAAAGCAAGGTCCATACAGAAATTGTTTTCGAGATCAGTGTGGAAGAACTTGACTGGCCTGCACAGAGCTCTGACCTCAACCCCATCGAACACCTTTGGGATGAATTGGAACGCCGACTGCGAGCCAGGTCTAATCGGCCAACATCAGTACCCGACCTCACTACTGCTCTTGTGGCTTAATGGAAGCAGGTCCCCGCAGCAATGTTCCAACATCTAGTGGAAAGTCTTCCCAGAAGAGTGGAGGCTGTTATAGCAGCAAAGGGGGGACCAACTCCATATTAATGCCCATGATTTTGGAATGAGATGTTCGGCGAGCAGGTGTCCACATACTTTTGATCATGTAGTGTATGTGATATGAGAGCAGCCTAGTTTCCCATGGAGAGTGAACTGTTCCAAGGGAAACATGCCAGTAAGCAGATCTGTCACTTCATATGATGATACCTTCCTATCCTCACCCCTGACTCTAGGTTAACTAACTGAGTAGAGAGGAGAGCATGATTCTATGGCATGGGCATGCCTGATGCCTGTGACTGAACATTCCGTTCCTGGTGGTTCATCTATCTACTAGGAGGTGTGGGTATGTTGTGACGCCTCCTCTATACCACGCCTGGATGCCAGCCTGTTACACAGACACTACTATTAACTGACTACTGAAGTGTTATGCCATCTGACTGGGGCTTACTTAAAATCTGTAGCAATTGGGCCTAAAATAGGATGCTAAAGACTGCCTATTATAGCCTTATTATAGAGAGCAGGGGGAGGGGATAACGAGTGTTGTGGCAAACTAATTTTTTCTGGAGTGTTGTGCAACACGACTCAAGCCTATGTCAAACACATTGAGCAACTTTCAAAGAGGAGACCTGTGGCCACCGCTGAAATTTCCGTGTGTCACTGTTGTCGCAGTATGTAAACAAGCAATGTTCTCTCTCTCGTCTTACTCATGTAAGACAGACGACTGAGTTAAAGGAGGACAGGGTTTAAAAACACAACCCTTTGAACATTCATCATCACTAGACTCTCAGATAGCCCAAGGCCTTACAGCAGGTTAGCGGTAACCATGGCGAGAGATAGTAAGAGAGAGGGGGAGATGTACAAGTGCTTGTTTGCACACCCACAGTGGTCTGTTGGCCAGCCGCCCACACACTCTTCCTGTCTGTGTGTCTAAGAGAAGGGGGAGGTGACTGAGCTTAAAGGGGTCTACAACAGGATGCCCACAACAGGGTGTTCTACTCACAGAACAATCACTTTTTCATGATATATGACCCCACAGCATATGACTGCCTAGCATCAGCCACAAAGGGAACCTATAACTGTAGAACTATTTACCATGCTTTATTGACTCTCCGTTTCTGACAATGATTCAAACTTCAGGTTAACGGTGTACTGTGTTGGTGTAATTCAGGACTGATTCACTGTTGTGAGGTGTGTGTGTGTGTGTGTGTGTGTGTGTGTGTGTGTGTGTGTGTGTGTGTGTGTGTGTGTGTGTGTGTGTGTGGTGGGAGCTTGGAGAGATGACCTGCAGTGTATGCAGATGGGCACGTCCCCATGGGCCTGGTAGGACCTCATCTCCTGCAGCAGCTCCAGGATGGGTGGGATGGTGTCAGGGACCCCATGGTCGGGCCAGTTGATATAGTGCAGCTGTCTCAGGGTCCGGCACCACTTATGGAAAAACCACAGAGTTCAATATTAAAACAGACAGACGGACACACCAGGAGACATGTGAGACCCCTACCCCATGAAATAAAATCAAAGTTTATTGGTCGCGTACACAGTTTAGCAGATGTTATAGTGGGTGGGGTGAAATGCTTGTGTTACTAGCGCCTAACATTGCAGTAAAATGTCAAACAAGTACACAAATTAATCAAAAACTAAAATCAAGAAATCTCAGAACGATTCCAATTAACAACCCAAATAACACTGTATCAGTAATCCAAGTGCAATCTATGCGTATATACACCGAAAAGATTATACGAAGAATGATATGTATAGCAGTTGATTTATTAGAGTGAGCTATGTTAAGAATCCAGTATCTAAATATGCGGTGTGAATAAACAGTGTAACTAAAATGCAATGTACAATAGTAGATATCTTAGAATGAGCTATGTTAGGCTTCCCAATTGGCGCAGCGGTCTAAGGCGCCTTGTGGCAGGCCGGGCACCTGCAGGTTGACTTCGGTCGTCAGTTGAACAGTGTTTCCTCCGACGACACATTGGTGCGGCTGACTTCCGGGTTAAGCGGGCAGGTGATAAGAATCGCGGTTTGGCAGGTCATGTTTCGGAGGACGAATGACTCGACCTTCGCCTCCCCCGAGCCCGTTGGGGAGTTGCAGGGATGAGATAAGATTGTAATTGGATCACAATTGGATATCAAGAAATTTGGGAGAAAAAGGGGGTACATTTTTTGAAAACAAAATAAAGAATGAGACACCAACAGAGGAGCCATGTGCGTCCACAAGCAGTAGACAAATCAGATATCAGCAACCACGGGAGGACCCCGGTGCAGCCAGGGATGAACATGAACATGTCCTTTCTAGCTCAGCTGGTAGAGCATGGCGCTTGTAACGCCAAGGTAGTGGGTTCGATCCCCGGGACCACCCATACACAAAAAATGTATGCACGCATGACTGTAAGTCGCTTTGGATAAAAGCGTCTGCTAAATGGCATATTATTATAATGAGCTATGTATATAAATACACAGTGTGAAAAACAGTATAAAAGAAACAGGAAGTGTCCAGCATTAGGAGTCTAAGGGCCCGGGCTTCTACTAAGCTAACATATGTAATTGTTTTAAGATGGTCATACCAAGGATCATTTAGCTATTCAATTCTGAATTTTAGGACCCCTGTAGGTATAAAAAAATATATTTTATGAAACATTGAATTTGTACTTACTGCTATTAGCCCATGGAAACACATTGAATAAAAGATTCATACATGGAAAAACAGATAGTCCAAAAATAAATCAAGTTTGCCAAAAAACAGTAGGTCATTCTGGTTAGTCAATGTCCAGATTTCAGTTTCCATTTAACCCATCTAAACAGTAGGCTACAGTTCCCTTGACATGCCATAGGCCTATTTGAATCACCGTAAACCCGTCTGCCCCACGGATATAACCTCGGGGACTGCGGGTTATGAGTTAACCTGCGCATCACTAGTGTGGGAGTGTGTGCAAAAAAGTCTACCTTTGATGTATTTAATTACTGAAATGCTCCGCACCAAAGAATACTGCAAAGCATACTACAATTCCACCAACAAAATATTCCATCACAATTTAGCGATTTTAAGCATGTATCTATCTCTTGTCCGCAGATTCTACACATGATCGTTTCTAATTTACACTCCATCTCAGTTTATAATAAGGGTATAAACAGTTCTTACATTACGATAGGTCACCCTCAAGTTTCTGCTCACATAGTCCCCTTTACTCTCCTCTGAGTCCTGTGCACAAACACACACAGTTGGCAGCTTAGCATTATTTTCACACAGAAAACCTGCAGACGCTATTCTTTCTAAGGAGGGAATGACATTAGTATACTACATGTACTTCACACGTGCGTGATTATTAATGTTTAGGCATATTTAAGGCATATTTGAGCAGAGCCCTATAACTTAGAATCCCAGAGGAAAAAGTACTAAGCACATCAAGGGACTTTTGTACAGTGCATTCGGAAAGTATTCAGACCCCTTGACTTTTTCCACATTTTGTTATGTTACAGCCTTATTCTAAAATTGATTAAATTGTTTTTTTCCCCCCTCATCAATCTACACACAATACCACATAATGACCAAGCAAAAACTGGTTTTTAGAAATGTTTGCAAAAATATATATATATTTATTCAGACCCTTTATTCAGTGCTTTGTTGAAGCAGCTTTGGCAGCGATTACAGCCTCAAGTATTCTTGGGGATGACGCTACAAGCTTGGCACACCTGTATTTGGGGAGTTTCTCCCATTCTTCTCTGCAGATCGTCTCAAGCTCTGTCAGGTTGGATGGGGAGCGTCGCTGCACAGCTATTTTCAGGTCTCTACAGAGATGTTCGATGGGGTTCAAGTCCGGGCTCTGGCTGGGCCACTCGAGGACATTCAGAGACTTGTCCCGAAGCCACTCCTGCGTTGTCTTGGCTGTGTGCTTAGGGTCGTTGTCCTGTTGGAAGGTGAACCTTCGCCCCAGTCTGAGGTCCTGAGCGCTCTGGAGAAGGTTTTTGATCAAGGATCTCTCTGTGCTCCATTCATCTTTCCCTCGATCCTGACTAGTCTCCCAGTCCCTGCCGCTGAAAAACATCCCCACAGCATGATGCTACCACCACAATGCTTCACTGTAGGGCTGGTGCCAGGTTTCCTCCAAACATGATGCTTGGCATTCAGGCCAAAGAGTTAAATCTTGGTTTCATCAGACCACAGAATCTTGTTTCTCATGGTCTGAGAGTCTTTATGTGCCTTTTGGCAAACTCCAAGCGGGCTTTCATGTGCCTTTTCCTGAGTGGCTTCTGTCTGGCCACTCTACCATAAAGGCCTGATTGGTGGAGTGCTGCAGAGATGGTTGTCTTTCTGGAAGGTTCTCCCATGCACTGTCAATTGTGGGACCTTATAGAGTCAGGTGTGTGCCTTTCCAAATCATGTCCAATCAATTGAATTTACCACAGGTGGACTCCAATCAAGTTGTAGAAACATCTCAAGGATGATCAATGGAAACAGGATGCACCTGATCTCAATTTCGAGTCTCATAGCAAAGGGTCTGAATACTTATGCAAATAAGGTATTTCTGTTTTTTATTTGTAATACATGTGTAAAAAATTCTAAAAACCTGTTTTCGCTTTTTCATTATGAGGTAGATTGATGAGGACATTTTGTCATTTAATCCATTTTAAATAAAATACTTTCTGAAGGCACTGTATGTGCCTGTATCTTTTTGTATCTGGCTTTTCAATAAGGTTGCATTCATCTAGCATTTATGACTATAGTGTTGATAACGTAGTTATGGTTAGGAGGCCGGTTGTCTTGTGAGAGGACAAGAGAACCAACCAAAGCAGGAAGTGGTCAGAGAGAGGGAGGAAGTAGCCTACTACTTACGCAGTAAATAGTAAACGGGCCACACACAAATGGCTCCTCTTGTTTCTCCGGCCAGTAGCGCTCACACTTTTTCTACGAAAGAGTATGTAGGTCACATTACAAACAATCTGTCTTCAATGTGCAACAAGCTACAACACTGACCTGATATTAACCACAATCTATGATTATGAAATGCAGCGTAATAATAGAGCATAGTATACATGAGCATAGCGAGTGACTTACCCTGCCCATCTCATACTCCCTGCAAGCCATCACTATGACCTGATAGAAGACAATATCACCATCAGTGCATCAGTACAACATCACCAGAGAGAGCGAGAGAGACAGGGGGGTCGTTCCAGCTCAAATAGCACAAAAAATAGGATTTCGACACCCACCATCTCAGATTGTTCTGAAGTCGTGGATGAACAAATAATACTCAGAGCCGCAGTTCCATACTACTCATCAAGCATACAGAACTGATAATAAACTCAGCAAAAAAGAAACGTCCCTTTTTCAGGACCCTGTCTTTCAAAGATAATTAGTAAAAATCCAAATAACTTCACATATCTTCATTGTAAAGGGTTTAAACACTGTTGCTTGTTCAATGAACCATAAACAATTAATGAACATGCACCTGTGGAACGATCATTAAGACACTAACAGCTTACAGACAGTAGGCAATTAAGGTCACAGTTATGAAAACTTAGGACACTAAAGAGGCCTTTCTACTGACTCTGAAAAACACCAAAAGAAAGATGCCCAGGGTCCCTGCTCATCTGCTTGAACGTGCCTTAGGCATGCTGCAAGGAGGCATGAGGACTGCAGATGTGGACAGGGCAATAAATTGCAATGTCCGTACTGTGAAACACCTAAGACAGCGCTACAGGGAGACAGGATTGACAGCTGATCGTCCTCGCAGTGGCAGACCATGTGTAACAACACCTGCACAGGATTGGTACATCCGAACATCACACCTGCGGGACAGGTACAGGATGGCAACAACAACTGCCCAAGTTACACCAGGAACGCACAATCCCTCCATCAGTGCTCAGACTGTCCGCAATAAACTGAGAGAGGCTGGACTGAGGGCTTGTAGGCCTGTTGTAAGGCAGGTCCTTACCAGACATCACCTGCAACAATGTCGCCTATGGGCACAAACCCACCGTTGCTGGACCAGACCGGACTGGCAAAAAGTGCTCTTCACTGATGAGTCGCGGTTTTGTCTAACCAGGGGTGATGGTCAGATTCGCGTTTATCGTCGAAGGAATGAGCGTTACACCGAGGCCTGTACTCTGGAGCGGGATTGATTTGGAGGTGGAGGGTCCGTCATGGTCTGGGGCGGTGTGTCACAGCATCATTGGACTGAGCTTGTTGTCATTGCAGGTAATCTCAACGCTGTGCGTTACAGGGAAGACATCCTTCTCCCTCATGTGGTACCCTTCCTGCAGGCTCATCCTGACATGACCCTCCAGCATGACAATGCCACCAGCCATACAGCTTGTTCTGTGCATGATTTCCTGCAAGACAGGAATGCCAATGTTCTGCCATGGCCAGCGAAGAGCCCGGATCTCAATCCCATTGAGCACATCAGGGACCTGTTGGATCGGAGGGTGAGGGCTAGGGCTAGGTCCATTCCCCCCAGAAATGTCAGGGAACTTGCAGGTGCCTTGGTGGAAGAGTGGGGTAACATCTCACAGCAAGAACTGGAAAATCTGGTGCAGGAGATACACTGCAGTACTTATTGCAGCTGGTGGCCCCCCCAGATACTGACTGTTACCCCACAGTGAGAGGACGTTTCTTTTTTTGTTGAGTTTATATCTAATCTAATCATCAACAACAAAAATCTCATCTATATACTCGTTGTTGGGGTGGGATTGGTGTGAGGTATGGGGAGTCCGTCGATGGCTTTTGACCACTTCTTTAGATTCCTCATGTCTTACTCATTGTTTGAAAAAAGTTTGGTCCAAATTGGATGTTAGGTACTATAATTATTGAATAATATAGGAATCCTAGAAATTAAAATACAATCAATTAGCTTAATTTTTCAGATATCGAATTCTATTTCAACAAAATAATATTTACAGAATGCTTATCCTATCTGTTTCTAACTACAGAAATGATTTCCGAACAATCTGTGATGGTGGGTGTCATGGCTTGCTGAAATGACATGGAACAACCGTAGAGAGAGATAGAGAAGAAGAGAGAGAAAGAGAGAGAGAGAGAGAGAGAGAGAGAGAGAGAGAGAGAGAGAGAGAGAGAGAGAGAGAGAGAGAGAGAGAGAGAGAGAGAGAGAGAGAGAGAGAGAGAGAGAGTGACACAAACACACACACAGAGACAAACAGACAGACAGACAGACAGACAGACAGACAGAGTGGTACCTCTATGTTGTACTCCCAGAGCATCCTCCAGAAGTCCAGCACGGTGTGGGGCAGAGGGCCCTGAGTGGCAATGTAGGCCCTGGACCCTGACACTCCCTGGGGGTACAGAGCATAATGGTCACACACCCTGGGACTCTACTGCCGATACTCTTCTATTGTGTCTTCTAGTACACCAAGATCAAGTCCCGCCACCCTACCTTGATGAAGCTGGCATTGATGTAGTCATTGTCATTCTTGGAGGTGGTAAGGGTCAGCTTCACTCTGCTGTGGTCAACTGAGGGGAGATGAAGACAGTATTGTAGTGAATACTGCATAAATATACCACTTCAAACCACTGCATTAGACTGTAACTGTAAACCGTGACTTACAGGGAACAATGTCCTTGTATCGGTTCTTCTTCACATTCTCCTGAGTCTCTGCTACCTTTGTGGGGTACGTTTTGTCAGTGCGGTACTTGGTGGACTGGCGTTTGAGCCTCTGCAACAGTGAAAAGTGAGTCAAATATTAGAAAACACAAGGCATATGTTTGCATGTGCAGGAGGGAAAGGGTTATCTCAGTCTATCACCCAGACCTGTGTGGTTAAATGTAAGGGTGTCTAAAGATCTTGTTCCTCTGGGGAACTGGAAGTAAGTAGCCGTACAGTCAATGACATTGCAGTTGTCACAGTTCCTATGTTTGTATGTCTGAGTCTAGTAACTGCCCAAAAGGGTTCATCAAAGAGTTATTCTATGGAGACAGCCTAAGAACCGTTTTAGGTTCTAGATAGCACCTTTTTTTCTAAGAGTGTAGAGTCAGTGTTAGAGTCACATCCATGTACTGTACACTCTGTGGGTAACCCTGTGACACCACACCACTGCCAAAGCTTAACGTCAGCTCTGGCATGGCTCAGACTTACAGCCATTAGCTTACTGGAAACATACAGTGCATGGCAACAGACTAAGAGAGGACATTAGTGACTCCAGTCAGGGTAGTGAATGAGTGACACTCAAAATAAAGACCCAGAGTGTCCCTCCCTGGTCCTCTTGCAGTTCTAACAGACAGCCCAAACAGAAGGCAGAGAGCAGACATCTGCACCCTGCAGAGCTCTTTTTGTTCCACACACGTAAGTTCTGTTCCCCTGGGTGGTCAGGATGGAAGGGACACGACACAAGCAGGGCGGCAGGTGGAGCGGAGAGAAGGGAGAGGGGAGGAGAGGAGAGGAGAGGAGGCCCAATGCCCTCAGTCACAGAGGTGTCCCTCCTCACCATGGTGATGGTCCACAGGTGATGTCATCCATGGGAACAGGACAATGGGGTGCCCAAGGCAGAGTTTTAGTTAAAGTGCACTTATGATTAGTGGGGCCTCACTTGGCCCCACTAACAGGCTTCTGTGATATCCCATTTGCAATTGTAAAGCTAGTGTCAGTCAGTGTGTGTTTATGTGTGTGTGTGTGTGTGTATGAGTATGTGTCTGTGTGTATATGTGTGTGTGTGCATTAGTGATGCACGGGTTAGCTGTTTGTTCACCTGCACCTGCCCTCAATTGCTAATAACCCATCCACAACCGCCTGACTATGTGTGATAAAGTGAAAATCTGATGCAGCACCCAACCCTAACCAGCAAATATAGAAAATGGGCAACAGGCTACTGTCAAAGACTGAAGAACGATTTCTTGACAGGGGGTGCAGGATTTTTTTGTTGCCAATCATCACACGTAACATAACCGGCACTACTATCTTCCTCTTTTACCACTTCCCCAAATATTTTACCAACATTACTTTTCTGGTCCTCCCTTCTCTTTATTTTCAACTCTCCTTTCGCAGCTTTTGTCTTACTGAATTAAACTTCGACAATGTCCTTTGTGCCTCCGTCGATTGACTTTAACTTTGTCTGCCCTTCCCAAAAGCATTATTTGGCAATTGGCTGTGTAGGCTATTTGGCGCGTGTAGGCTACAGTTAAACCCTAAAGTTTAGGCTTATGCAGTAATACCAGATAGCCTAAAATAATGAAAGAAAAACCTTAATGTAGCCTATATGAATTGCACAATAATTATACATTTATGGATTTTTTAAGGTATTGCTTCTCTTTATTCAACCCGCCTGCCACCCACCCGCCCTTCAGCCACACAATATTTATGACCCAAATCCCGTCCGCGGGTTATTAGTCAACCCGCGCATCACTAGTGTGCATGTATGTGCGTGTGTATCAGTGGTGGAAAAAGCACCCAATTGTCATACTTGAGTAAAAGTATAGATACCTTAAAAGAAAGTTACTCAAGTGAAAGTGAAAGTCACCCAGTAAAATACTACTTGAGTAAAAGTCTAAAAGTATTTGGTTTTAAATATACTTAAGTATCAAAAGTAAATTCAATTGCTAAAATATACTTAAGTATCAAAGTAAAAGTATAAATCATTTCAAATTCGTTAAATTAAGCAAAGCAGAGGGGCACCATTTTCTTGTTTTTAAAAATGTACTGATAGCCAGGGGCACACCCCAACACTCAATACATTATTTACAAAATATGTATTTGTGTTTAGTGCCAGAACATAGGCAGTAGGGATGATCATGTATTCTCTTGATAAGTGCGTGAATTTCACAATTCTCCTGTTCTGTTAAGCATTCAAAATTGTAAAGAGTACTTTGGGTTGTCAGGAAAAATGTATGGAGTAAAAAGTACAATATTTTTTCTTTAGGAATGTAGTGAAGTAAAAGTAAAAGTTGTCAAAAATATAAATAGTAATGTAAAGTACAGATACCCCCAAAAACGACTTAAGTAGTACTTTAAAGTATTTCTACTTAAGTACTTTACACTACTGGTGTGTATGTGTGCATGTGTGCATGCGTGTCCTTGCAAGTGCATGTGTGTATGTGTGTGTGTGCAGGGTGGTGGTGCTGGGGGCTCTTTCTGCATCAATAACATAGCATTTGGACTGACTGACACAACCCATACAGAAACAACCCATACAGAAACAACCCATACAGAAACAACCCATACAGGAACAACCCATACAGAAACAACCCATGCAGACACAACCCATACAGGAACAACCCATGGAGAAACAGCACAACAGAAATAGTATGTCTCTCCTCTGAACATGGCGTTCTTTTGTCAAATTCTTCTTGGGACATTGGCAGAGTTCTGCTCAGTGGAATAACAGTTTGACTTATCACAACAGCACTCTCTCTTTGTCCACACACACTCACATAAAAACAAATACACTCACTCACATGCTCTCTAAGCTCAGATAAACTGTAAACATTCAGCATCACAGCACAGGTGAAGTCCGCACTAAATCCACTTTTTTATACAAAGAGAAAAGTGATCAAACAAATAGATTAACTCACAGAGAACTCCCCGGTGAAGCCACTCTCTGCTTCCTCCTCCTCAGCCTCCTTGCTCTCCACTTGAGCCAGGAAGCCCCTCAGTATCCAGGCTTGCTGCTCCATGGCTGGGCTGCTGGGGCTGCGCGTGTGCTGCTGCTGCTGCTGCCTGGCATGTCAGGACACAGAGGGCCACGGGGCCATGGACAGGGGGCCCGCTGTCAGGGTCCGGGTGGCTGGGTGTGTCTCTGTTCCAAGGGGCCTGGTAAGAGGTGCTACTCTACATCACACTGAGGATGAGGAACTATGCTAAGGCACAAGGCACTGTCAGAGCTGTCCTCAGTTCAAGGAGGCAGCAGCAGCAAGCTAAAAGGTTCTGTGGTCAGATTAAAAATATCACCATGCCCCCTTGTGTTTCTCTCACTGGGTCCTAGAGCCAGCAACTTATGTCTCTCTCACTGGGTCCTAGAGCCAGTCTTTGTGTCTCTCTTACTGGGTCCTAGAGCCAGCCACTTATGTCTCTCTCACTGGGTCCTAGAGCCAGCTACTTGTGTCTCTCTCACTGGGTCCTAGAGCCAACTCCTTGTGTCTCTCTCACTGGGTCCTAGAGCCAGCCCATTGTGTCTCTCTCACTGGGTACTAGAGCCAGCCCTTGTGTCTCTCTCACTGGTCCCAGAGTCAGCCCTGCTCCGGAAGCACCTCATCAGGGTGTGTGAGGAAGAGAGAGAGAGAGAAAGAGAGAATGAAAGATACAGTGAGAGAAGCACAGACACAAACAGAGTGTACTATGGTGGCACCTAGTGGAAGGTGTGTAGAATTTCTTCATTGAATGGTCCTGGAGCAGAATGCCCCCCCAGTACATAGACAAATAACTATTTCAAGCAGCATAGACCTATACATTTTAAAGTTGTATTTTATGATTATGGATGATTAAACCAAAACCAACTTCATCTGAGCCTAATACTGTATAGTGAAATGGAACAGGGTGAATAATGCCATATGGATCTCGCTTTAGAGGGTCTATTCAGATCCTCCATCGCCATACATTTTGCACAGCTCTGAAGCTCTCTTAGTAGAGGAGGATGCCGCACCAACCACAGTCCATTTCAGTGGCATCCTGTCTCATTTTCAAACCAGCACTTTGTCTTACAATAACCTCATTCACAGGTTGAATTGCTATTGTATAGGTTGAGAGAAAGAGATGGCTTGTAGAGGACATTAGTCTTACCATGACGAGGGTCCTTTATCTCCTGTTGCTGTGTCATAGTAAGTATCTTTTAATCTACTTTTAATGTTTTTATTCAGTAATTACAACATGTGTTTACAGTCCTGTTTTCATGCCCTCACAATTTTACATAACATTACATGATATCAAAGGGATGAATATATATACAGTAACGGTAGAATTCCTCTGAGTGTATTCAACATACTTTGTCATACTTACGCCTGTCTGTGACTACATAATGATATCAAACCACAACTGTGTTGATTTTTCCTGATGATCATTCGAATGATCATTATCAACAGGGTTGCCATTATACATATACTGTACATAAAGTAGATATATACCTGCACAGTATATCTTACACCACTGTTGATGACCTATTTACTGAATACAGAATACTATCCAGTGTACATCAGGACACAGAAAATGCTATTTTCAAGATGTCTGAGAGGGCTGTTGACCAACATTATGATTTATCTAGCTATTTGTTGAATTTCTTTTCCCAGCAAGTGTCCAGCTTCAGTGTGACAAAACACTCATCCAGGCCAATGTCGGAAGTGGATTCAATCTGGTCTGCCAGTACCAAACAAACCAGTACCTCTTCAGTAAGAAGTACTGGTGTCGTGGGGAGTCTAGGTCGACCTGTGATATTCTAATGGACACCGATCGCCTCACCAACAGAGGGCTCAGACACAGGTCCCAGATCATAGATGCACAGCGAAGGGGGTTGGTCATCATAATGACAGATCTCAAGTTAGAGGATACTGGAGTGTACTGGGTTGGGATTGATAAAATCTATGCTGATATCATGACTTCCATCAATCTAATTGTGACATTTGGTAAGATTATTTTTGCTCTTTACCTTTACTGACCAAGTTTCCCCTGCCCCTTTTCTCTTGCATTATCCAAATAACACCTCTCTATCTCTCTCTCCCAGTGGCAGTGTCCAAACCCAAGGTATGGCCCCTGAGCTCCATGGGAAACACTTGCTGGGGCCAGCCTGTGACAGTGCGTTGTGCTAGTGCACAGGGCACAAGTGTCCACTACACCTGGTACCAACCCGCCCAACCCCAGGACATCCAGTTTCAGAGCTCAGCAGACCTGCACCTACACTGTGGCATTGTGGAAGAAGACAGCCAGTACTACTGCAGAGCCAGCAATGATGTGAGCAGCCAGCATAGTGGGATGGTTTCTCTGCAGGTTCTGAAGCCCTTAGAGGAAGACTGCATCTATAGTTTTACAATGGAGGGTGAGTGCCTAGAAAATATTTTGTTTGTGGTTGATTAAGTAGGAACAAATCAGAGGCAAAACACATCAGCAAAACTACATACTAAGTAGACACCCAAGTTAATGTCTCCTAAACAGGTAGCTTCTCATGACAAATAAAGTATAATAACTATTTCCAATCCATGCATATGTACTTTTCAACACCACCAGGCCAGAGAAGCTATGACTGTAGTGACAGACTGAAGACAAGCACAGCCACAACTCTGCGTTCTACTGGCCATCTCACAGAAGAACCCTATCACCCTGGAACCAACAGCAACCTGTCCTCAACAATCAACCAAATACACCAGGACTGGAGCTACAGTAGGTCAGAACCTCTGTGTAACCTCTATGTAACCTCTGTTTAACCTCTATGAAACCTCTGTGTATCCTCTGTGTAACCTCTGTGTAATCTCTGTGTTTATCTATTTCCACAAGATCCACATTAGCACACCTTGAGCTGAAGCCTGTTACCCAGTAACATAATGTGACATGTCTTGAAGAAGCAGTGCAGCTACACTTCCTTTGCTGTGGTCAATCTGTCAGCATGTTACGTATCTGTCTGTTGTTTGATGGCAGTGTAGAAAAAGTTTCCATAAAGAGGCACAGTGCAGTAGCGCTATTAAAAGGTTGTAGAGGTTTTAGGTGTCCATTTCCAAGTACAGGATGTACTGTGCACTCTTAAAAACTATACTGTGTATGCTGCTGTGGAAGTTAGATCTGAAGACTACTAAATCAAATCAAATCAACAGGTAGTGTTGTATTCACCTTACAGTGAAATGCTTACTTACAAGCCCTTAACCAACAATGCAGTTTTAAGAATGAATACCAAAAAAAATCACACAAAAAATACTATATAAAATAATACAAAATAAAAGTAAGAAATAATTAAAGAGCAGCAGTAAAATAACAATAGCGAGGCTATATACAGGGGGTACCGGTACCGAGTCAATGTGCGGGGGCACCGGTTAGTTGAGGTAATTGAGGTAATATGTACATGTAGGTAGAGGTATTAAAGTGACTATGCATAGATAATAAACAGAGAATAGCAGCAGCGTAAAAGGGGGGGGGGGGGGGGGGGGGGGGGGGCAATGCAAATAGTCTGGGTAGCCATTTGATTAGATGTTTAGAAGTCTTATGGCTTGGGGGTAGAAGCTGTTTTGAAGCCTCTTGGACCATATTCAAATGTAGAAGCAGAATAATCCAGGAGACGGAGCGGGCAGCGGAGGTGAGTTGGTGGGAGTGAATAGGCAGATCCAATGATGGCACAGAAGCCACCGACGACCAGGCAGGGGTGGGGTGAATGTTCCGGGAGAATGACTGTAGACAGAGTAAACGAAGGTAAGTACACGGCAAGCAAAAAGTACAAAACAACAAAACTAACTCTAGTAACTTTGAGGCTGATACGCTGACACAACATACTGTTAATGGCTAACGATCCGGCAGGGAATGGATGTCAGGTCAGAGCTTATGAAGAGGTGATGATCAGGACCAGATGTGCAGACAGCTGATGAGATGCAGGTGCGGGTAATCGAGAGATCTCCCGCCTAGCTTCGTCGCCCGGCAACCAGACAGGGTGCGTTCAGGAACCTTCAGGAAACAGACTCCAAGACAGAAAACCGGCAACTCAGGCAGAAACAGACTCAGGAAGCGGGATTCATGACAGATAGCATCACTGGAGGCACCGATTGAGTCGGTCTCCGCGTGTATGGGGGGTGGGACAAAGGAGCTATCTAAGGCAGGTTTAGCTGGGCTGGGGGATCTACAGTGAAATAGTACAATAAGAAATAACCGAAACAGCAATAAGTAAGGCATATTGACATGGGAGAGAGGCATAAAGCAATCACAGGTGTAATTCGAGAGAGCTAAGACAACAGCTGGTAATGGCGACAAAGTTTGGGCTGAGGCTAAACATAAACAGGATGCGGTACCGTAAAAAGGAACAGTCCAGTAGGCATCAGCTGTATAGCTGAGTTATCATAAGGTTCGGTGAACAGCAATAGGATACAGTGAGGGAAAAAAGTATTTGATCCCCTGCTGATTTTGTATGTTTGTCCACTGACAAAGACATGATCAGTCTATAATTTTAATGGTAGGTTTATTTGAACAGTGAGAGACAGAATAACAACAAAAAAATCCAGAAAAACGCATGTAAAAAATGTTATCAATTGATTTGCATTTTAATGAGGGAAATAAGTATTTGACCCCTCTGCAAAACATGACTTAGTACTTGGTGGCAAAATCCTTGTTGGCAATCACAGAGGTAAGACGTTTCTTGTAGTTGGCCATCAGGTTTGCACACATCTCAGGAGGGATTTTGTCCCACTCCTCTTTGCAGATCTTCTCCAAGTCATTAGGTTTTCGAGGCTGACGTTTGGCAACTCGAACCTTCAGCTCCCTCCACAGATTTTCTATGGGATTAAGGTCTGGAGACTGGCTAGGCCACTCCAGGACCTTAATGTGCTTCTTCTTGAGCCACTCCTTTGTTGCCTTGGCCGTGTGTTTTGGGTCATTGTCATGCTGGAATACCCATCCACGACCCATTTTCAATACCCTGGCTGAGGGAAGGAGGTTCTCACCCAATATTTGACGGTACATGGCCCCGTCCATCGTCCCTTTGATGCAGTGAAGTTGTCCTGTCCCCTTAGCAGAAAAACACCCCCAAAGCATAATGTTTCCACCTCCATGTTTGACGGTGGAGATGGTGTTCTTGGGGTCATAGGCAGCATTCCTCCTCCTCCAAACACGGCGAGTTGAGTTGATGCCAAAGAGCTCGATTTTGGTCTCATTTGACCACAACACTTTCACCCAGTTCTCCTCTGAATCATTCAGATGTTCATTGGCAAACTTCAGACGGGCCTGTATATGTGATTTCTTGAGCAGGGGGACCTTGCGGGCGCTGCAGGATTTCAGTCCTTCACGGCGTAGTGTGTTACCAATGGTTTTCTTGGTGACTATGGTCCCAGCTGCCTTGAGATCATTGACAAGATCCTCCCGTGTAGTTCTGGGCTGATTCCTCACCATTCTCATGATCATTGCAACTCCACGAGGTGAGATCTTGCATGGAGCCCCAGGCCGAGGGAGATTGACAGGTCTTTTGTGTTTCTTCCATTTGCGAATAATCGCACCAACTGTTGTCACCTTCTCACCAAGCTGCTTGGTGATGGTCTTGTAGCCCATTCCAGCCTTGTGTAGGTCTACAATCTTGTCCCTGACATCCTTGGAGAGCCCTTTGGTCTTGGCCATGGTGGAGAGTTTGGAATCTGATTGATTGATTGCTTCTGTGGACAGGTGTCTTTCATACAGGTAACAACCTGAGATTAGGAGCACTCCCTTTAAGAGTGTGCTCCTAATCTCAGCTCGTTACCTGTATAAAAGACACCTGGGAGCCAGAAATATTTCTGATTGAGAGGGGGTCAAATACTTATTTCCCTCATTAAAATGCAAATCAATTTATAACATTTTTGACATGCGTTTTTCTGGATTTTTTTGTTGTTATTCTGTCTCTCACTGTTCAAATAAACCTACCATTAAAATTATAGACTGATCATTTCTTTGTCAGTGGGCAAACATACAAAATCAGCAGGGGATCAAATACTTTTTTCCCTCACTGTAGTTCAGAGGTAGTTCAGGGGCTGCTATAGCACTAGCGAGCAAGAGGCCACGGCTAGCGTGTGCTAGCGGGCCGGGGCTAGTAGATGGATCTTCGTGGTCGACGTCGTAACGTGAAGCCTGTTGTAACCACATCATACGATTTTGTCGGCAGACCAGTCGTGTTGGATCGTCGGGGCTCCGTGTCAACACTAGGAGGTCCCGTCCGGTTGACAGAGAGGTAGATAGCCGGGAGATGGGCCTGGCTCAAGGCTAACTCAGGGCTGATTAGCCAACCACAAACGTCCATTTGGTTGCAACTAGCTAGTAGCGATGAATCCGGTGTTAAAGGTCCAGTGATTCAGTGATTCCGGCAGAAAAACCGATATGTTCAGGGTCGATAACGTGCTGTGCAGACAGTGCAGACTGGCCGAATAATAATCCAGGCTAGAGCTGGCTGGCTGGTAGGTAGTGCAGGCCACGGCCACGGACAATGGTGAAGACCGCTAACGGTGGCTAATAGCAAGTAGCTAGTTAGCTGGCTAGCGATGATCCGGTGTTAAGGTCCAGTGATTCAGTGGTTCCGGCAGAAAATCCGATATGCTCTGGCTCGATAGCGTGATGTGCAGACTGTGCAGACTGGCCGACAATTGTCCAGGCTAGAGCTGGCTGGTAGGTAGGTAGTGCAGGCCACGGCCACGGACAATGGTGAAGACCGCTAACGGTGGCTAATAGCAAGTAGCTAGTTAGCTGGCTAGCTGGCTAGTTTCAGCCAGAGGTTCTGGATGAAAATGTATGAAGAAACAACAGAATCCGTTCCACATTGGGTGAGGTGGGTTGCAGGATATGAGGTAACAACAGGGCCTGGCCTATGTTATAAGTGTACAAAATAAAGTACAAAGTGTTTATTAGGTGTTCAGCCTATTAAAAGGTGCTTAAAATGATTAAAATACAAAACAGTGATTGTGATTGTGTTGAATTGTGATTGGGAAATAAAGATAAGGGCCTCCCGAGTGGCGCAGCGGTCTAAGGCACTCTATCGCAGTGCTAGAGGCTTCACTACAGACCCGGGTTTGATCCTGGGCTGTATCACAACTGGCTGTGATCGGGAGTCCCATAGGACGGCGCAAAATTGGCCCAGTGTCGTCCGGGGTGGGGGGCTTTACTTGGCTTATCGTGCTCTATCGACTCCTTGTGGCGGCCGGAAGCCTGCAGGCTGACCTCAGTCATCAGTTGAACAGTGTTTTCTCCGACACATTGGTGCGGCTGGCTTCTGGGTTAAGCGGGCGGGTGTTAAGAAGCGCGGTTTGGCGGGTCATGTTTCAGAGGACACATGACCCGACCTTCGTCTCCAATTGCGGAGAAAAATACAACAACAACAAAAAATATAAATAAAGAGAGTCGCACACTCTAATACAGTTGAAGTCGGAAGTTTACATACACTTAGGTTGGAGTCATTAAAACTTGTTTTTAAACCACTCCACAAATTTCTTGTTAACAAACTAAAGTTTTGGCTAGTCGGTTAGGACATCTACTTTGTGCATGACAGAAGTAATTTTTCCAACAATTGTTTACAGACAGATTATTTCACTTATAATTCACTGTATCACAATCCCAGTGGGTCAGAAGTTTACATACACTAAGTTGACTGTGCCTTTAGCTTGGAAAATTCCAGAAAATGATGTCATGGCTTTAGAAGCTTCTGATTATAATTATAATTTGAGTCAATCGGAGGTGTACCTGTGGATATATTTCAAGGCCTACCTTCAAACTCATCATGGGAAAATCAAAAGAAATCAGCCAAGACCTCAGAAAAAAAATAGTAGCAATTTCCAAATGCCTGAAGGTACCACGTTCATCTGTACAAACAATAGTACGCAAGTATAAACACCATGGGACCACGCAGCCGTAATACCGCTCAGAAAGGAGATGCATTCTGTCTCCTAGAGACGAACGTACTTTGGTGCGAAAAGTGCAAATCAATCCCAGAACAACAGCAAAGGACCTTGTGAAGATGCTGAAGGAAACAGGTACAAAAGTATCTATATCCACAGTAAAACGAGTCCTATATCGACATGACCTGAAAGGCTGCTCAGCAAGGAAGAAGCCACTGCTCCAAAACTGCCATAAAAAAGCAGACTACAGTTTGCAACTGCACATGGGGACAAAGATCGTACTTTTTGGAGAAATGTTTTCTGGTCTGATGAAACAAAAATAGAACTGTTTGGCCATAATGACCATTGTTATGTTTGGAGGAAAAAGGGCGAAGCTTGCAAGCCGAAGAACACCATCCCAACCGTGAAGCACGGGGGTGGCAGCATCATGCTGTGGGGGTGCTTTGCTGCAGGAGGGACTGGTGCACTTCACAAAATAGATGGCATCATGCGGAAGGAAAATGATGTGGATATATTGAAGCAACATCTCAAGACATCAGTCAGGAAGTTAAAGCTTGGTCGCAAATGGGTTTTCCAAATGGACAATGACCCCAAGCATACTTCCAAAGTTGTGGAAAATGGCTTAAGGATAACAAAGTCAAGGTATTGGAGTGGCCATCACAAAGCCCTGACCTCAATCCTATAGAACATTTGTGGGCAGAACTGAAAAAGCGTCTGCGAGCAAGGAGGCCTACAAACCTGACTCAGTTACACCAGCTCTGTCAGGAGGAATGGGCCAAAATTCACCCAACTTATTGTGGGAAGCTTGTGGAAGGCTACCCGAAACGTTTGACCCAAGTTAAACAATTTAAAGGCAATGCTACCAAATACTAATTGAGTGTATGTACACTTCTGACCCACTGGGAATGTGATGAAAGAAATAAAAGCTGAAATAAATCATTCTCTCTACTATTTTCTGACATTTCACATTCTTACATTAAAGTGGTGATCCTAACTGACCTAAGACAGGGAATTTTTAACTAGGATTAAATGTCAGGAATATGAAAAACTGAGTTTAAATGTATTTGGCTAAGGTGTATGTAAATTTCCAACTTCAACTGTATATAAACTCCCAGTAATTTATTGGTGTTTTCCCAATAAAATACTGGGAGTTTATATATATAGAGTGTGCAAATCTCTTTACTTATTTTTATAGCTTACAGTTTGTTCGCCGTTAGTCATCACTCTACACTGAAGCTCATGCTTTCTATTAGGGAAATAAAGATAGACATGGTTTTAAAATGTATTGGTAATATTTCATTCAGTACAGAAATGTCCTTACTCCAGTGGCTGTTGATGGACAGGGTCAGCATAGGCCTTGCTGCTTTGCCTAGCTTCATTTATTGAGCCAATTTCATATTTTGCTTATGTGCATTGCCTAAACATGTTGTGTGGGTAATCCTGGGGTAAGCGCAGCACATTTGAGCATGTCTACATAATTTGGCGCTGAATGACGCTAGCTAGCTAGGAAAAACAACCTGATAAATGGACACTATACTGCACCTCAAAGAAGGCTACAAGCTCATGTAAAGGTGGCAACTGAACTATGTGGAGTTATTGTATAGGCTACCTTTGCTGAAAAAGATGAAAGGTTATCTAGACACTTGGAGACTTCCACCGTGTTTGGTTGCTAGGTGAAGACAGGTTCCTGGGTCCAGAGCATTTGAAAATGACTGCCCCCTCTCACTGAAGCCACGGTACTGCAGGCATTGTTAGCAGAAAACAGGAGATGTGGAGATGGGAGAACCTTCCAGAAGGACAACAATCTCTGCAGCACTCCACCAATCAGGCCTTTATGGTAGAGTGGCCAGACGGAAGCCACTCCTCAGTAAAAGGCACAACAGCCCGCTTGGAGTTTGCCAAAAGGCACCTAAAGGACTCTCAGACCATGAGAAACAAGATTCTCTGGTCTGATGAAACCAAGATTGAACTCTTTGGCCTGAATGCCAAGCATCACATCTGGAGGAAACCTGGCACCATCCATATGATGAAGCATGGTGGTGGCAGCATCATGCTGTGAGGATGTTTTACAGCAGCAGGGACTGGGAGACTAGTCAGGATCGAGGGAAAGATGAATGGAGCAAAGTCCTGCTCCAGAGCGCTCTGGACCTCAGACTGGGGCGAAGGTTCACCTTCCAACAGGACAACGACCCTAAGCACACAGCCAAGACAACGCAGGAGTGGCTTCGGGACAAGTATCTAAATGTCCTTGAGTGGCACAGCCAGAGCCCGGACTTGAACCTGATCGAACATCTCTGGAGAGACCTGAAAATAGCTGTGCAGCGACGCTCCCCATCCAACCTGACAGAGTTTGAGAGGATCTGCAGAGAAGAATGGGAGAAACTCGCCAAATACAGGTGTGCCAAGCTTGTAGCGTCATACCCAAGAAGACTCGAGGCTGTAATCGCTGTCAAAGGTGCTGCAACAAAGTACTGAGTAAAGGGTCTGAATACTTATGTAAATGTGATATTTCCGTTTTTAATTTTTAATAAATTTGCAGAAATGTATAAAAACCTGTTTTTGCTTCGTTTTTATGAGGTATTGTGTGTAGATTGATGAGGAAAACAAACAATTTTTAAGAATTTAAGAAAATGTGGAAAAAGTGAAGGGGTCTGAATACTTTCCGAATCTACTGTAGAATGAATGGTGTCACGTGATCAATAGCTTTGTCCATTTATACAGTCATTGGTCCAGAGTGATGGGTGATATGTCGGTAAGTTGGCCAGCACTTCAGTGGTATGGCTGTGCTTGTCTTTGTTAACTATGCACACTGATACTCCAACACACATACAAAACACACTCCATCATTTGCTCACACACATAAAATATGCACATACATTTATACTGACTCGAAACACACCCACTCACATCCAATCATCATATACGCTGCTGCTACGATGGTTATCATATATCCTGATGCCTAGTCACCTTACCCCTATACATACTGTATCCAGCATCCCTGCACATTGTAAATATGGTACTGGAACTGACCCTGTATATAGTATTCTTACTTACTTTATTGTGTTCTTCTTATTTCTTATTTTTATATCTTGTATGTTTTTATTCTACCTTGTTATTTTTAGTTTTACATTGTTATTGATTACTGCATTGTTGGGGTTAAAGCTAGCAAGAAAGGCATTTCACTGTATTTGTGCATGTGACAATAAAACTAACATATCATGTGCCGTTAGACTTCCTTTGCAGTGGTCAAATGTGGTCTGTTGTTTGATTGCAGTGTAGTGAACGTTTCCAGAGAGGCACAGTGCTGTAGTGCTGTGAAGAGGTTGTGGAAAGTTGCATAGGTATAGATTAAGGTGTCAATTTTCAAAAACAGGATGTACTGTGCACTCTTAACAATTGCACTGTGTATGCTGCTGTGGGAATGAAATCTGAAGACTACTACTGTATGTAATGTAGAATTTCATTTTCAAAGAGCGATTTTCAATCATAACTCTTCTTGTTTATTTTTCAGGGCATGGACAGAGTTGCCTGTTTGGTATGAGGTCCTGCGCTGGCTTTTCCTGGCTACTCTGATAGTAGCTGTTTGTCTTGTGAACAAGTGCAGACCTACACAAGTGTGATCCAACAGTCTCTATGACAACAACAAGTTTCCTTTGGCAAACTGACCACTTTGTTTCACCTTAGTCGCAGATATGTATGTATGTGCTTTAGCTAACTCCTTTGTCATTTTGTCATATAACAACAACATCCTTCATAGACATTGAAAATATAGAATTGGCTAACTACATCAAGGTAAATAGGTTTATCTACTTACCTATACAAAGGGTGAAGGTGGGATTATATTATGTCAAATTATATTTTCTTACTGACACACAAGAATAGTTGAAGTAAATGTGCCTGTGAGGATGTGAAGAGCTACAGTTAGCCACAGGAGGGCAGTAATGATTGTGTTATGGAAGTTTGAAACGTCACATGTTCAATATGGCTTACATTATGAAAGGACTTTAAGTGATATCATGGTATCCTAAAATTAACATTTGTATTTCTTATCATAATGACACATAATCAAATAATTGCTCAGTAATATCGTTTCTTTACAGGGAGCCGGGAGTGTTTACCAGAGACAGATACTAACTCCCTGCCCAACAGCCACTGTATTAATAAGATAAACCATATCTAGTGTGACATTAAAACAGGAAGACCCCTCCCTTCCTGTGAATGATATCATGAAATAAACAAATATTACTTTATGAGTCAGGTGACTTTTATTGCATTTCATGCGTATGTTCAATCCTGTACTCAACGAACGTGACATGTATAAAACATCAAGCCTTATCTATTATGTTGGTCAAAGACACCGATAATATTTTCCATCAAGAAAAAGCCAGAGAAAAGTAAATGGAACTGAAAGAGCTTAAGTCACAAAATTAGAATTCATGAAATAATCTGTAATTAATAAGTAATTACAATTTTGTTTGTTCGAACAGAAAAATACTGAGTTGTGTGTGATGAGAATAGGATCCATTTCAAATTCCATGATGATTGTTATTCTATCCTTCCCAGGAACTCTGTCATACAATAAGACATTGTCACAGCGTGAGAATCCGTTTTCAATGTCGACACTCAAAACAATGGAGAGCCAAACCCTCTAGATGTTGACCAGAAATGACAAACCACTTAAAGCCCCTTCTTTAAACTCATAACCTCAACATAAAGTTTTCCATAGTGCGTGATATATTATTGAATACTGTTTATTAAGAAATCAGATATGTGTACCTGTTGGTAAAAGATTCTTTAAGGAATGTATTTGCTGTAACTGCTTTTAGAACATGTTTGGTTATAGTAAAACTTTTCACGAGGAAGGAAGCGGTGATGGTATTGTGTTAACCACAAAAAGACCAGAATATTTACAGTATTTTACTGCTTAGAAACCATGCATAAAAGTATTTGGAAGCATATCTACATTATATCTTGGTCAGATGGTGTGTCACGAGTGTCAGAAAATTGTGAAAGGTTATGTTACTCAGCATGAGTCAAATTGAGGATTGTTCTACATACCACGTCTACTTGTGTTTCTAAATCTCTAAATACCAAAGTGGTGATCATATATTTTTTTTTACAATGCTTCCACTTGGATACTCAGCATGCCACACCTTCAGTTCACTATTGAGTTGACCTCGTCTTTTCTTACAAGGTATAAGGAAGGTGTGCCAGTACCTGGCATAGTGTTCATTAACTGTTTCACTGTCACAACCCTGGATGACAGACAATATTCTAAAACCGTGTAGGCCTAGGCCTCATACATAGGCTATCTCTGTAAATAGATTATTTGCATGAGAGCCATGCTTGAGCTGAATTTGATGACAGCAGAAAAATGGGGTATAAAGTGATGTATTTCATTTCCATATATTTGAGAGAGATACTTTTTTATTACATACATTCTTCAAAATTCACTAAATGTGAAGTTAGCTGATGAATATTATCTCATAGAACAAAACGTATAAGATCTCCTAAGCCTGTGTTTATCACAGAACTTATTTTTGCCGTTTATCCAAAAACGCCATTAATTTTCGCAAACGATGATTTCAGATTCAGATGGTTTAATAGTCACATGTACAGGGTTGCAGGTGTGATTGCAGGGTACAGTGAACATCTTAGGCTCCGAGCTCCAACATGCAGGACTAAGTGAAATAAAAGAATGAAAATTGTCATGGAAACAATAGAAATAGAACTAGCACTATATACATCATTACAACTGTGGCAGTGATGAATAAATACATGTCCAACAGGGGGATGGCAGAGTAAAGACTGTTGAGGGGGTGGGGTGGAACGACCATAGGTGGAGCAGCAGCATGACCATTGAGTGAAATAAAAACAAGAAAGTATACATAACAACTACAACAGTGATGAATGTGGTTGAGGTGGGGGCAGAGTAAAGTGTGTGTGGAGTAGCAGGGGGATGGGGGAGCAGGTAGCTGACTAGTGGTGGCTATTCAGCAGCCTGATGGTCTGAGGGTAGAAACTATTGGCCAGTCTTTCAGTTTTAGCCATGATGCTCCTGTACTGCCCGCGTCTGAGTGATTGAAGTGGGGAGAACAGGGCATGGCTTGGGTGGCTGGGGTCCCTGATGATCTTCTTGGCCTTCCTGTGACACCTGGTGTTGTAGTTCGGCTGCACGTATCACCCTCTGAAGAGCCTTGCGGTCCGCTGCGGTGGAGTTGCCGTACCAGGCTGTGATGCAGCCAGATAGTATGCTCGATGGTGCTCCTGTAGAACACTGTGATGGCCCTCGGGGACAGGCCGAACTTCTTCAGCATCCTGAGGTTGAAGAGTCGCTGTCGTGCCTTCTTCACTATGGTGTCCGTGTGGTTAGACCATTTCAGCTTCTCTGAGATAAGTACGGCGAGGAAATTGAAGTTAGGATGGGGGCGTGTCCAGCCTGGTTCCTCCTGAAGTCCACAATCAGCTCCTTTGTTTTTCTTATATTGAGGGAGAGGTTGTTTACCTGGCACCACGCTGTCAGAGTGCCTACCTCCTCCCTCTAGGCTGTCTCGTTGTTGCTGGTGATCCGGCCTACTACTGTCGTGTGGTCAGCGATGAACAGCATCCTCACATATGCATTCCTTTTGTCCAGGTGGGTAAGGGCAGTGTGTAGTGCAATGGCGATTGCGTCGTTCGTGGATCTGTCAGGGCGGTAGGCGAATTGGAGAGGGTTGAGTGTGTCGGGGAGGTAGGAGGTGATATGGTCTTTGACTAGCCTCTCGAAGCACTTCATGATGACGGAAGTGAGTGCCACTGGTCGGTAGTCATTCAGTTCAGTTACTTTCCCTTTCTTGGGCACAGGGATGATAGTGTACATCTTGAAGCAGGTGGATATAGAGGCCTGAGCTAGGGAGAGATTGAAAATGTCAGAGAACACAACAGTCTGCACATGGCTAGAGATGCCATCTGGGCCGGCAGCCTTGTGAGGGTAACACGTTTGAATGACTTACATATGTCCTCAGTGGAGACTATGAGGGTGGCAGCTCAGGGTTAGCCATGGCGGTGTTATTGCCAACAAAAAGATGCCATTACTATTTCTCTCTATGTCAAGTGTTCATTATTTACCTATAAATCACTTCTATTTGTGCTTTTATGTGCTATGCCTTTTTGTGCCCACAGCCACAAACTGAAATTGTATATCTTGCTACTTACAGGCCCTTTATTAAGGACACGCCCCCTTGTCTTACCTGAAATGGAGGAGCACTGCCCTTAAAGAAAGGTGCAACACAAACGTCAAGTTGCTAGCCAGGCAGACATCGTTACTAGTTGAAGAAAGCGTACAGACCATTTGAACAATAAGGTAATATTTTTCCAAATACCGCTGATAATTATTGTAAATTATTCTAAAAAGTGCCATGTACGCGAACAGGTAGCTAGCAGATGCAGCTACAATTAGCCAGGCTTTCTAGTTAGCCCTACCCCATTCATAGACGCTAACTACCTTTAGCCCCTATTGATTAAGGTATCTTAAAAAACAGTACAGTATGTAGTGTCTTCTTCCCAGGGGAATTTTGTTAAGAGCCCAGACGCTCGATCTGATCGTTTGCGGTACGGTTTTGGGAACGTAGCTATCCAACGTGGTCTCAGAGCGTTTCATATTATTCTTTACGTAAATCAGGACTGTCTCTATAGTATTATATGTTAAGTTTCTTATGGTATATTAATTTGTGAACGTCCATCATCCGTTTCGTATGATATATTACTAATTGCAATTTGTACAATATGTTACTAATTGCAATTTGTACAATATGTTACTAATTGCAATGTGTACAATATGTTACTAATTGCAATGTGTACAATATGTTACTAATTGCAATTTGTACAATATGTTACTAATTGCAATTTGTACAATATGTTACTAATTGCAATTTGTACAATATGTTACTAATTGCAATTCGTACAATATGTTACTAATTGCAATTCGTACAATATGTTACTAATTGCAATTCGTACAATATGTTACTAATTGCAATTCGTACAATATGTTACTAATTTGCTAAATGTATATAATTTTTTACGAATTCCTATTTGTTGTGGCTAACGTTAACTAGGTCGTTAACGCTAGCGTTAGCTAGCTCTAGGGGTTAAGGTTCAGTTAAAGGGTAGGTTAGTGGAAGGGTTAGCTAAAAGGGTTAGGGGAAGGTTTAGCTAATATGCTAAGTAGTTGCGAAGTTGTTAAAATGCTAAAGTTGTCCATGATGAGGTTCGAACACACGCCTTAAGTAACCTTCTATCTTATGTAACCATACCAATCATAACATATCATACTAATTTGTGTGTCCTGGATTATGTTTACTATGTACATCTAGTCTATGAGACCAGTCTGAACTATCTTTCATATCAGCTAGAAATAATAAATGAAAAAGGTTAAATTACTACACAACTTTTATCTGGTTAGAGTTCCCACACGACCATATCTCCATGTTACAGCACGTGTTTACAAAAAACATAAGGTCCTTGGCTAGTTCACTATTTTTACAACTTTTGATGTTGGATGGTTCCTTACCCTGAAAGATTTCTATGGACCAGGAGAAACTGTAATTCATGGTAAAATGTTCTTTAAACAGCCATTACAAACTTCAGCTAACTTTAGCAATTGCTAGCTAAAATCAATAGAAGTGATCATGTTTAGAAAAATGTCAAAATCACCTGAAATCAACTCTATATTTGATGTACAGTACCAGTCAAAAGTTTGGATACACCTACTCATTCAAGTTTTTAAACATTTTACTATTTTCTACATTGGAGAATAATAGTGAAGACATCAACACTATGAAATAACACACATGGAATCATGTAGTAACCAAAAAAGTGTTAAACAAATCAAATATATTTTATATTTGAGATTCTTCGAAGTAGCCACCCTTTGCCTTGATGACAGCTTTGCACACTCTTGGCATTTTCTCAACCAGCTTCATGAGGTAGTCACCTGGAATACATTTCAATTTACAGGTGTGCCTTGTTAAAAGTTAATTTGTGGAATTTCTTTCCTTCTTAATGCGTTTGAGCCAATCAGTAATTTTGCAACAAGGTAGGGGTGGTATACAAAGGATAGCCCTATTTGGTAAAATACCAAGTCCATATTATGGCAAGAACAGCTCAAATAAGTAAAGAGTAACGACTGTCCATCATTACTTTAAGACATGAAGGTCAGTCAATCTAGAACATGTCAAGAACTTTGAACGTTTCTTCAAGTGCAGTTGCAAAAACCATCAATCGCTATGATGAAACTGGCTCTCATGAGGACCACCACAGGAAAGGAAGCCCCAGAGTTACCTCTGCTGCGAGGATACGTTCGTTAGAGTTACCAGCCTCAGAAGTTGCAGCCCAAATAAATGCTTCACAAAGTTCAAGTAACAGACCCATCTCAACATCAACAGTTCAGAGGAGACTGTGTGAATCAGGCCTTCATGGTCGAATTGCTGTAAAGAAACCACTACTAAAGGACACCAATAATAAGAAGAGACTTGCTTGGGCCAAGAAACACGAGCAATGGACATTAGACCAGTGGAAATCTGTCCTTTGGTCTGATGAGTCAGAATTTGTGATTTTTGGTTCCAACCGCCGTGTCTTTGTGAGACGCAGAGTAAGTGAACGGATGATCTCCGCATGTGGTTCCCACCGTGAAGCATGGAGGTGTGTGGGTGTGCTTTGCTGGTGACACTGCCAGTGATTTATTTAGAATTCAAGGCACACTTAACCAGCATGGCTACCACAGTATTCTGCAGCGATACGGCATCCCATCTGGTTTGGGCTTTGTGGGACTATCATTTGTTTTTCAACAGGACAATGACCCAACACACCTCCAGGCTGTGTAAGGCTATTTGACCAAGAAGGAGAGTGATGGAGTGCTGCGTCAGATTACCTGGCCTCCACAATCACCTGACCTCAACCCAATTGAGATGGTTTGGGATGAGTTGGACCGCAGAGTGAAGGAAAAGCAGCCAACAAGGGCTCAGCATATGTGGGAACTCCTTCAAGACTGTTGGAAAAGCATTCCAGGTGAAGCTGGTTGAGAGAATGCCGAGAGTGTGCAAAGCTGTAAAGTCAAAGGGTGGCTACTTTGAAGAGTCTCAAATATAAATTATATTTTGATTTGTTTAACACTTTTTTTGGTTACTACATGATTCCATGTGTTATTTCATAGTTTTGATGTCTTCACTATTATCCTACAATGTAGAAAATAGTTAAAGAAAAACCCTTGAATGAGTAGGTGTGTCCAAACTTTTGACTGGTACTGTAACTTAAAGGTGATTTGGCCATAAAACAACAACATGCTCACATGCCCCCATCACTTTCATTGATTTATAGCTAGCGGTGGCTGATGTTAGCTGAAGTTTGTAATGGCTGTATAAAGAGAACTGAACCATGGATTAGTTTCCCCTGGCCCATAGACTACTTTCAGGGTGAGGATCCATCTAACATCATGATGTAAAATAGTGAAACTACTCCTTTAATGAGTAAAGGCCTTAAGGAATAACTGTAGGCTCATTATCAGTAAATTTTTGGCCTTGTGTCCCAGAGTCCAGTAACGTTACCAGCTAGCTAACTTTATCTACCAAACCTTATTGTGAGTAATATGTGTATTTCCTTGTCAACAGTGTGATTGAGGCAAGTGGATATTTAGCTAGCCGATCAAATCAACTCCACGTTTTACAATGGAGTTGAGCGGCAACTAGTGTGTGGACTAAAGCACCAACGTCACATAAAATCACAGGTGCTATTCTTTGGGTTCTGAAATCTGTCGTTTTTGATAAAAACTTCATTTTATGTGACGTCGGAGCTCCTGTCCGCACACTAGTCGCCGCTCAGCTCCATCGTAAATCATTGAGTTTAGTCGGCTAGTGGATATTGTGAGAAGTTCATCCGCTTAGGTGGGGATCTGGCAAAACGTTACAGTACAAGCAAACCAACCAATCCAGGAAATTGTGTGCTGCTGCTTGTTACAGGAAAAGAAGACGTCATGCAGCCCTCTAACGTCTGTTGGTCCTTGATGATATGGATGGTCCAGCTGGCCTTGATGTTTCTCACTATTCAAGGTGGGGTCATATCTGTATAGAATCAGAATCCTATTTCTTTGCATCTCTGTCTACAGACGGTGGTTTGAAGCTTACACTACTACAGTTTATGGGTTGAATTGACGGTGTTGTCTCCTGTATTTGTTCACCTTGGTCATTAACATTAACTCCATTTTGTCTCCACCTCTTTCAGCTCAAAGCTGCACCAAACCCATAGGAGGGCCAAACATGGTTTTGTCAGGTGCCTTCATCGCTCAAGAGACATTTGTAGACAGAGCAAATGTCACTTTTGACTGTACAATTGGATATGTCCATGCAGGAGGGTCTCGTACAGTCACCTGTACTGCTGGCGTGTGGAGTGAAGTGAAACTGATATGCGAAAGTAATATAATTGTTTTTGTTCTTTAAAGTTATGCCATATTCTTGTAAATGTTTCCAGTTTTTAGTTACCCACTCGCAACTTGATATATTCATTGCCCATCCATAGATCTTCTTGAAATACTAGCCTGGAATTCGGACCTGTTTTGTGCTAACATTCAACTCTTTGCCACTGTCATTTTGAAAGTCTGACTGGTTTTCTCTATGGTTGTTTCAGGGAAGTCGTGTGGCTCCCCAGGAGAAGTGATGAACGGCCATTATGATCTCTCTGAGGGGATCTTGTTTGGCGACAAGGTTGTTGCTACCTGTAACACTGGGTCAGTGCAAGGCTATTTGCTTCACCCCCCCCCCCCCCCCCCCCCCCCCCCGAATGCTTTCTTGAGTGTTAGATGTGATTTCTTAGTTAACATGGCAACTGTCATGTTTCTCAAAGCTGTCCATTTGTAGGCCTATTTTTTTGATTTCCAAATAGGCCTTACTCAAACTTCCCCTCCCTAAAAGTTAAACTTTTATTTATTTTTTATGTTTTGCATATTATCTGTTGTTACCATTTTGATCAGAGCTGTGAACGGTCTCTGTTGTAACCCTTGTTGTCCTAAAAGCAAAGCTCCAAATACTGTCTCATATTGTCTAATCTTTCTATTTTTCAGCTATATGCTTGTGGGCAGCGGTGTAAGGACCTGTATGGACGGAGGCTGGGATGGCAGAGTTCCTGTATGTGAAGGTTAGTAATCTGAAGGAGCATGTCAAGTGAAAATAACAATAACTTTAACAGTTCTGTGCTTGTGCCTAAATCAAAACTCTTCATAACTGCTGTTGTGCTCTAATCTGCAGTGGTGAAGTGTGGAAAGCCCCCCACCATTGTCAACGGTGGGCCTGTTGTCCCACCTGAAGAGACGTATAACTATGGAGATGTAGTGCAATATGGCTGTGAGAAGGATTACACTCTGGTTGGAACTAAATCCATAACCTGCTCTGAGAATGGAGAATTCCAGCCAGCTCCACCTGAGTGTAAAAGTACGTTGAAAGCTTGCCTTTTTTCCAATTCTAAGTATGGTTGTTAACAAAATATAGAACTGCTCACATGAACTGCTTACACCAGGGGTAACAAACTCATTCCATGGAGGGCCTAGTGTCTGATGGTTTTTGGTTTTTCCTTTCAATTAAGACCTAGACAACCAGGTAAGAGGAGTTCCTTACTAATTAGTGATCTTAATTCATCAATCAAGTACAATGGAGGAGTGAAAACCCGCAGACACACGGCCCTCCATGGAATGAGTTTGAAACATGTGGCTTACACTGATCAAATCTATTTGGCCTTCCACTTTTTTCCTCCAATCGTGTTCCAGATGACCTCTGAAAGATAAATGTATAAATATCACAGTATCTAGCCTAATAAAATAGAACATAAGCACAGATGTGCATGAAACAGGCTAAGCAAGCAGTCTAAAACATGTATAATATGTAGGCCTATTCTAAAAACCATGATGCAACATTAAGCTCAGAGGAAGTGGTTTACAATAGAATCTACCCTATTTATTTGTTAGATAATGATTAGTTGCAGGATTCATAAATGGGTGATTATAACAACATTGTTTATTGATTCAAGTAGTCTAAAACCAATAAATAATATACTTGGGTCACCTTGTTCACCTCAAAACAGTAGCTAATGACATCTCTCTTTGTTTATGTCTGCAGTGGTCTCATGTCCTCCTCCTGTTGTTGAGAATGCCGTTCGGATTGAAGGCCGTCCCCCCTATACGTACAGGTCTTTTGTGGCATATAAGTGCAACGCTGGATATGAGATGGAGGGACAAGCCAGTCTGACCTGTGAAATAGAAGGCTGGTCAGCTCCTTTCCCTACATGCAGAGGTAAGACTGATTTCAGTGTTTGTTATTTAACACACTTTAGCCTATATTTTAGCTCAGATATTTTGTGCACCATTTGGTGTGTAGGAACAGAGGACCAATGTGTCAGCAAACTGGCATTTTTAATGGAATTGACCTCCACTCATATAAACACATTGAGGCCTTTTTGATAAGAAAATATGGTATGTGTGTTAATGTTCATGCTAATTGTTATTTTTCACCATATGCATGCCTGTGCATAGCAACCTCAAGTATTTATTTTCCCTTTTTACATGTTATGAGTGATTGACTAGCTATCTGGTCCAACACCATTCTACTCCTCAGACCACACTGGCTGACTAAAGCAGTTGAGGGATCACAACAGTAAAGTGTTGTGACAGACCGGACAAGAATAGTTAGTGGCCTAATTATATGTAATGTCTTTATAGCCCTTCTGACTACAACTACTGCAGCTACTACAAAGATAACCACAGTCCATGGTAAGAGCATTTTGAAACTGCTTGGCACAATCCTAATATAATGTTTTATATATCGTTTTTCGTGAACGGGTGGTGTACCTGTCACAAGAATTTCTATCTCAATGTTTCAAAAATGAACTTATTACTCAGTCTGTATCCCAGAGGTTGTAAATCTCTAATAATCAGACCAAGTAGCCCAGCATACAATCATCAGGCTTTATTCATGAGAACGTTCTGCAACAAAATGGTTGTACAATTCTTTTATACACACACGTCATGCAAATATTCCCACCCCGCTGTAGGCGGCTGTATTTTTCCACTGTACACATCTAGTAAGCACACACCTGGGTTCAGCTCATGGGATTTTCCTCTGCTGTCCTGACTATCAGGTCACACATACACACATGTTCTTATCATTTCCTACTCCTTGCTCGGACAGGCTGCATACTTATCGCATCCTCACAATATCCTGCAAGCCTTTCACTCCCCTTTCCCTGTGTTTTGGGAACCAGTCTATACTCTGTTGCTGGGATATAAACACATTTGATTAATTCTCTAAGCGCTAGTCTACTAATTAGTCATACATTATTAGTTTAACTGAGGGTGTGACATTTTAGTCATATCATACTCACACATTTCTTTATCAGTACCTAATAAACTGAGTATGTATGTATGTATGTATGTGTGTATGTATGTATGTGTGTGTGTGTGTGTGTGTGTGTGTGTGTATATATATATATATATATCTCACTCAGTTTATTAGGTACGCCACCCGTTCACGAAAAAGGATCGCTCCTACAGACAGTGAGTCACGTGGCCATGGCTTGCTATATAAATCAGGCATTGAAGCATTCAGTTACTGTTTAATTGAACATTAGAATGGGCTAAACGAGTGACCTATGCGTGCCAGGCACGCCGGATCCAGTATCTAAGAAACAGCAGCTGGGCTTTTCACACACTGGGCTTTTCACGCACGACAGTGTCTAGGGTTTACCAAGAATGGTGGGGAAAGCAAAAAAATATCCAGTCAGCGGCAGTCCTGTGGGTGAAAACAGCTTGTTGATGAGGGAGTTCGAAGGAGAATGGCAGGAATCGTGCAAGCTAACATGCAGGCCATAAACAGGCAAATAATGAAACAGTACAACAGTGGTGTGCAGAACTGCATCTCGGAACGCACAACTCGTCGATCCTGGTCAGGGATGGGCTATTGCATCAGAAGACCACACCGGGTTTCACTGCTATCAGCTAAAAATAAGAAGAGCCTCAAGTGGGCACGTGATCATCAACACTGGACAATTGAGGAGTGGAATAACATAACTGAACTCATGTTCCAGGCTTACCTGAGTGGCCTGGGCATTCCCCAGACCTCAACCCAATAGAGCATCCTTGGGATGAAATGGAACGGGCTGTTCACAGCATGAATGTACCGCCGTCCAATCTGCAGCAACTGCGAGATGTCATCATGGAACAACATCCCTGTGAAACGTTTTCGACAGCTTGTTGAATGCCCCGAAGAATTCAGGCTGTTCTGGAGGAAATGGGGGGGTCTGACCTGGTACTAGATGGGAGTACCCAATAAACTGATCTTTCCATGACATAGACTGACCAGGTAAATCCAGGTGAAAGCTATGATCCCTTATTGATGTCACCTGTTAAATCCACTTCAATCAGCGTCGATGAAGGGGAGGAGACCGGTTAAAGAAGGATTTTTATAGATTGTGTAAGTGTGCCATTCAGATGGTGAATTGGCAAGACAAATTATTTAAGTGCCTTTCGAATGGGGTATGGTAGTATGTGCCAGACGCACCGGTTTGAGTGTGTCAAGAACTGCAACGCTACTGCGTTTTCACGCTCAACAGTTTCCCATGTGTATCAAGAATGGTCCACCAGCCAACTTGACACAACTGTGGGAAGCATTGGAGTCAACATGGACCAGCATCCCTGTGGAACGCTTTCGACAGCTTGTAGAATCTATGCTGGGGTGCAACTCAATGAATTGTACACTCAGTATACTGTATATAGCCTAGCAGTGGCTTTTCTTCTGACCCCTCATGTTCTTCTCCATAGCATTACCTAACCTACAGGAAATCAGAGAGTGCCTGTTGTACAGTTGAATTACCTGAATTCACACATGTTTTAGTGTTGATAGAGAGAAGTTATTATGCTAACACTTTGGCACCTAACACCTTAACTCATTGTATTAGCCTAACCTTTGATATTTTGTGGTAATACAATAACCCAGTGGTGGCTTTTCTCCATCAGACTCTCCTTCACCTGAAACAAAGGATGGATTGTGATCTGAATATGTAACAATGTACCTGTCAAGTAGTCATGGAGAAAAACATAACCCATATCAAATGCATGAAGTAATCATCACTGTCCTCATAAACGGCTGAACCCTATCTTGAGTTATGTGAGCTCTTGGCCTACCTCTAACACGGAAATAAACTATTGGATGTGTTGAAATGTAACACTAGTTTGTTCACTTGCATACCATGCCACTAACACCACCTCATTCTTTCACTACAGTATTTTATTTGTTTTATCCAACATCTGTATGCTGTATTAGTCATTGTTAAATCTGTGTGTTAACTCTCACTTCTTTGAGTAACAGATCGTGTACCTGACCCCACTCATACAACCCCAGACCCCAACAGTAAGCTATCACCCAGTTGCTATCCATCTTTTTATGTTGTAGCTGTATGATGTTCTCTTTGATGGTTCATTACCTATTTAGGTGATGATTCAGCTTCACTGCAAATTCATGTCACCTTCCTTCTGTGTTTGTTTATTTACAGACAACGCTGGGAAAATAGCAGGCGGTGTTGTAGGTGTACTTGGTAAGTTGCAGCAGATGTTGTTTTTTAATGACGAGCTATGTGGATAACAACAATATCAATCAAGGAAGAGACTATAGGCTATTGCAGTCCAACATTAGTGATGTAACATTAGCATCATGCTAATAAGTGGGAATATAGTCAAATTCACAGAACTATTCTTCTGAAGAACAGATTCATTGGATTTATACTTTTTTTCAAATCTTATCATTCAACAATTGTTTACGTGTTGCTGTACTATTAATTAATTTTCTAACATACTCACCAATGTATAGGCTTGTTATTTTGTTTCTTGTGCAGAACTGACATGAGGTTATTTGTAATAAGTTGCTATTGTTACTGGCATACAGACCTGAAATATTTTTGGGGGGGGTTTTAAAAGGTCCAATGCAGCGGTTTTATTTCTGGGTAACAATTAAATACCATACTGTGATTTGTTTTCAGTTAAAATTGTCAAAGTAACAAATCGCTTCTTAGCAAAGAGCAATTTCTCAAGCAAGAATTTAGCTACGACTGTCTGGGAGTGGTCTGAGTGGGGAGGGAAAAACTGAAAACTAGCTGTAATTGGCAGAGGTTTGAAACTCTCATTCTTATTGGTATATTAGCCTAACTAATTTACCATTGCTACCGATGCTGGTTTCTGCCAAATGCTGCATATACCGATGCTGGTTTCTGGCAAATGCTGCATGATTTTTGTTTGCAAAGCTTTCTAATATTTAATATGAATATACACACACCAGCCACAGTAGTGGAGCAATGTGAACGCAGTGGCCATCTTGGCAGAAATGGTTTGTTTAGTGTTTTTTCTGCCATTGTAATCCTTGTGCGGGCCGCCAAGGCGTTTTTTTTTGTGTCCTAACGGGCAATTTAGGGATGGAAAAACGCTTTTCAATGGACCTACACTACCGGTCAAAAGTTTTAGAACACCTACTCATTCAAGGGTTTTTCTTTATTTGTACTATTTTCTACATTGTAGAATAATAGTGAAGACATTCAAACCATGAAATAACACATATGGAATCATGTAGTAACCAAAAAAGTGTTAAACAAATCAAAATATATTTGAGATTCTTCAAGTAGCCACCCTTTGCCATGATCACAGCTTTGCACACTCATGGCATTCTCTCAACCAGCGTCATGTGGTAGTCACCTGGAATGCATTTCAATTAACAGGTGTGCCTTCTTAAAAGTTAATTTGTGGAATTTCTTTCCTCCTTAATGCGTTTCAGCCAATCAGTTGTGTTGTGACAAGGTAGGGGGGGTGGGGGGTATACAGAAGATAGCCCTATTTGGTAAAAGACCAAGTCCAGATTATGGCAAGAACAGCTCAAATAAGCAAAGAGAAATGACAGTCCATTACTTTAAGACATGAAGGTCAAGCAATACGGAACATTTCAAGAACTTTGAAAGTTTCTTCAAGTGCAGTCACAAAAACCATCAAGCTCTATGATGAAACTGGCTCTCACGAGGACCGCCACAGGAATGGAAGACCCAGAGTTACCTCTGCTGCAGAGGATAAGTTCATTAGCTTTACCAGACTCAGAAATTGCAGTCCAAATAAGCAGAGTTCAAGTAACAGACACATCTCAACATCAACTGTTCAGATGAGACTGTATGATACAGGCCTTCATGGTCAAATTGCTGCAAAGAAACCACTACTAAATGACACCAATAAGAAGAAGAGACTTGCTTGGACTTATTAACACG